ACTCAACCCATTGCTTACGAGAACCCGCTGGTCCCTGTGTTAAACTTATGAGTAGGGGTGAATTCAGAAGTCAAGGGGTTAATAGAGCTTTAAAGGTACTATGTCCCATTTGCAGGCCAAAAAAATGAAAAAGTTAAATTCCAACTGCATTTGAAAGATAATACTAATTTAGAACTTCCCTAAAAAAGGTAGGGCTTGAAAATGGCTATGAGTGGGAAAATAACGACTGTTAGTTGTCACATAGACTTTAGGGCTATAGAGCCCAAAAGTAATAGTCTTGATTTTCAGACAATTGTACCGAATGGTCATACGTTTTATGCTGCGCAAAGATTCAATCAGTTTAATCTAGGCCATCACAAGAAGTGGGTTATTGATGTAGACAAATGCTCATGTACCCTTTACAACTCTTTTCATGTATGTTATTACCAAAGAAGAATAAAAGCCAGTCAGTCACTCAATAGTGTCTGCCAGTGAAGTCTAGCAAATAAACGGGTTCCCTTGTATAATTTGAATATGAGGACACTGCTAACGTTTAAATTTCACAGATAGGACATACATGACATATTTATAATTCCTGTAAAGTTCTACAGAATTTGGGGTTGGCTGCAAAAGGGACATAGTACCTTTAAGGTAGAACATCAGCACGAGAATATACCTGACGATGGCTTATGCTTAAAGCAAAGAAGAAGATTGTTGGAGTCTGTAGAAAGTACAGATGTATGTGATACCAGGTAGTGTCAATATACCGGTTTACTAACATATTAAAATTTAAGGATGTTTCTTTCCTGGGTATCTAGTGACGAGATTTACATTAATTAATAAACTACAATACTTGTAATCCAGTCTGCATACCTTACGTGCTGCTATTTCGGGAAAGCCTTGGGCAAGTTTTCAGATTATCAAGAACAACCTTAGTTAAAAAAGTATGCATCAATTTGAATAATTATGTTAGTTTAAAGACTTTAGTGGTCTATTCATATAAAAAGTAACGTATGATTGTTAGCGAAGTCGAAAACGCCCTCCATTTAAACACTTCCTAGCTCATTTTCCATAAGAGAATTGATCCATTTTGTCTATTAGTGTAAGATTATACAAAGTTTGATCGATTCGGATCACCCACATTTCCTAATACGAAAACGGTGCTCTGAATGCAATGATCAAGTCCTATCTTGCGCATTTTATAAAAGCAAAATATTAGGCAAACACCAAAAAAAAGAACAGGTTTATTAACGGTAGAGAGTAAAGAAACATTCACCTACCTGCTTACATATGAGATAACGTATGATTCCTCTCCGCAAAATGTGATTAATCCGAATATAAATCCTGAGGTTTAGCGAAATAAAAAGTTCCTAAAGGTATCGTCAAACAAGTAATACCATATATGATATGAATTGTTTCTTATTTGTGTACTGTATTATGTTACTATGCTAGTTTGCTACGCGTTAAGAAAGTGTTTAAGGTGCGCGTGACGTAACAATGCCCTTACCACCGTCACTGGTCCGAATGCAGAAAACTTGCATTTGATTTGACCCTCGCATTTTATGGTATCATCAGCTATTTAGAAGATGGAAGAAATGGGTTTTTGCCTATTTAAAAAAAAAAAAAAACTCAATATTCTATAGCTATAACTATTAGAATGATGTTTCATCCTTCCTAGCTATAGTATGGAAAATATATACGGTCATATATAAAATAACGTCAAGTCGATCTGAAATACGAATTTCATTGCGTTGTATACGGTATGGAAAATGCACAATGGTATAGACATTACCAGGTGAAGATGAGTAATTTAAACATAATTCATGCCCACATATCCATCCACATAAATATTCTTTAAAAATTCATAAAGTTAAAGGCAGTCATTTTAATTCAAGTAATTATCTCCGGTAAGAGAGAATTTTGTAAAATTTTGTGAATCTCGTACCCCTTTAAGGAAGTTCATTTGTTGGCTTGTTATATTGTCATATTCTTTTTCATGTGAATTCAATCAAATGGATTGTAAAATTGAAAATGATTTGTAATACATAATATTCTTTTTCATGTGATGTTAATTGTGAATATGCATATATATATGTTTAAATAAATAAACATCGGCTGGGGAAATGGCCTTGTCTATCTGTAGGACAGCGCTCAAACCCCCAGGATTTTCAAGGATTTAAATGACTGGGCTATTATGATTCCCGGATCGTCGTTTGGATTGGACTTATGGTATTGAGTATTATTATCACAACTCTCTACATTACAAATAATGCAACCATATACATTTTAAGTATGGTAATAGCGGGGTCAGTGACATGTGAACTAATTCATTAATCTATTTCAGTTAATATTTATTTTTGGTTATCACTAAATAGGAGATCATTATTAATTTCAACTTATGAATTTAAATAGAATGTTTGAAGTACCGTTTTCATTGGTTTTGATGACGTTTTCTTTATATTTACTGTCATATTGCCCTCTCCCTTTTCAAAAAGCCAAAATGTCACGTTTAAAAGTTACATTGAGCGATACTGAGATTGGTGCAGAATAGGTACATAAATAAGGAAAGAGAGTGAGATGGAGAAATAGAACGAAAGACAGAGAAAGAAAAAAAAGAGCGAGGGAGATGGGTGAGACCATAGGGTGAGAGAGTTAAGCCTCGTTCAGATTATGACGTGGCAAAACCGAGGTTGATTTTTTTAAAAACTTAAATTGAACTGCACTTGTCATTATTTTGTGTATATTATAAAGCAGAGCTCACTGAATGCGCGCACGACCTTTATTCAGCGGAGCTGCCTTTTATTTACATGTTTTAAAATAAACCGCAGTGGCTTTTTCGCGGCAGTTAATTATCTCGCCATATCTCAACAAGCCGGAGAATGTCGGAATAAAGCTATACCCATGTAATCTATTTAATTTATAAAAAAAAAAAACTTTTCCTAACCCAATTCGAAAGTGAACAAGAATAAGTTGCTTTCATTTTAGTCATACAGATGCAAACATTCATCCTCTTTACTTTGGGGTCCACTGGACCTAGGTTTTGGAATTCCCTTGAAACAAGAATAGCGCAATCGGTCAGTACTTATGTATTAAAGCGCAAACTGAAGTTACTTTATTTGAGTCGATATCGTCTAGATTTATATTTGTGATCAATATTTAAGAAAATTATTTACTATATAGGTCAGCATAATTCTACTCCCGTTTCTCTCATCTGTTCATCTGTCCGTCTTGTTTCGTTTTTGTCTGTATTTCAGTCCTGTTGCTCATAGTATTTTCCTGTTTCTCTTATTTATAGCCATCATTTAGTAATTAGTAGATTTTAGTATACTTATTTATGTTTATATTTTCTCAGTTGTTTAGTTAGTTTAGTTTGTCAGCATTTAAATGTATGCATTATTCCTATCTGACGAATTTGTTCTTTTAGAACATACTCATAAGCTACTCGTGAAGGACCTTAAATCCACAAGCCTTGCTTTCAACCAAGGTCACCCCATCTTTCTATTGTAACGTCATATTAATGTTAAGTTGTTATATTCATGTCATATTTGTAAATTGTGTTATGAAAGAAAGATAAATAAAACTTGAACTTGAACTAAATTAAGCCTGATCAGGGAGTTGTTACCCTGCATCAAATTCATTCCCTAGCTGGGTCATGTTAGAACACATGATGGCGCCATTCCACGGTTTTCAGCTGAGCCATTAATTCTATTATTGGCTACCTAGGGCTCAGTCGGTCACAACATGGCTCAGATAAATTTCTTTGGCTTTGAGTTTGGGTCAGGTCCGATTTTATTACCAAATCATTAACATGTGTACATTCATTTACTTAGTATAGTCATTTAAATAATCATACATATTATCTGTTAACTGGAACTAACATATAGCAACATGCTAATTGAGGTTAGAGGTAATGATGAGTTCACATAGGCTGACGCCCTCGCCGATTGTCCGTCGCCAAAACGCGATTAGTATACTAATTTAGAATAACTTCGTGCAGAATAAATAAAATAAGTAAGGCGAATAGAAGCAATGAAATGGACATGGCTGATATAATGGTCGAGATTCCCACAAAATGTAGGCATGTTTTCAGTGGGTGTTTGTGTGGGTGTCTGTGCACGTGTGTGTGTGGTATATGTAAGTAAGTTTTTTTTTTTTTTTTTTTTTTTTTTTGGTTTTCGTCTCTTAAATGTCTTTTTATGTTCATGCCTTCTTCATGCATGCATGTTTCATGCTTTATTTGATGTAAGTAGTAAAAGTTCATGTGTATTATTTAGATGTGAATGTAAAATCATATTCTGTATAATAATATTAACATGCAGATTATTTTATGTATTGATTTTGTTAGTGTTTGTGAAAAGCAATGGAGAAAATAAAATATCATTAAAAAAAAAAAAAATACTTGCCAGGAAGCCCGACGCATATCGGATAGGCTAGGTTAGTAAATTAGAGTAAATGTTTTATATCACATTGGATGCAATCACAACATTTGTATAAAGTTCTACAGAATTTGATGTCGGCTGCAAATGGGACATAGTACCTTTAAAACCCCTATTCATCAGGTAAAGTTAAGGAAAATACAGCGTCGTTCTTTTGATTTACTAGATCACTAAAACCGCTGAAAAGAAGATAGAAATTACACAATGAAGAGACAATTATCATTTATTCACTGATAGTATAAATATATGATATAGACATTATATTATAGATATAATATGTATACAGGCATATTTATCATAAATATATATATATATATAAAAATGCAGAAATGAAATACACTCCCCTGCCAGTGTGTACATAAACATAGGGAAAAGAACTATAAAACATGGAATGTTGCTACATCCCGTTTACCGACGATTACTTGGTAGGCCTAGTCTGCTTTCAATAAAGGAAACTGGGTAAAAATAAAAATGTACCCACTACATTTAAGACAAAATTAGAAGAAGAAATGAATTGATTTTGTGGACTAATCAGTAAGTAAGCTTAGTTTTACATGAATTTTAATTATGAGCATACTACCATAATCTATACGAATGGAAAAAATCAACAGAAATTGAACATAATGGTTACGAATTATTGATAACAAAACTACTTTTCTATACATTATTACAGATTCAGGAAGGCATAACTCGTGGCTCCTCTTACGTAGAATGTTGTGCTCAAATACAAGTCATCGGTAAGTGTTTCTGATTGGTTGAATGTTCCGTCGCTATATTTGCAAGTGTTTAATCAGAGCTTGTTGAGAAATAGGATGTTGCCTTCAGGGAGGAAAAGGAGGAGGCCATGAGGAAAATGAATATCTCCACACGCCACTATTTCCTGCATTTGAATTATTTCGAGAGTGGGTGTGTTGTCGTCGAAGAGGTGCATCGGTTGGTGGTGGTGGGGGTGCAACTGTAGGCGGAGGGGGTACAAAAAAGGGTATGAGAGGGGGTTCAATTATTGGTGGCGGAAGGGGTGGAGACTGTGATGATGAGCTATCAAAATATATCCATTCACCTGCTGCATTCGAATTGTTCGTCGAAGGTGGTAGTGGTGGTGGTGGTGGGGGTGGTGGTACACCGGCCGGTAGTGGTGGTGGTGATGCACCGGGTGGTGGTGGTGCATCGGGTGGTGGTGGTGGTGGTGCATCGGCTGGTGGTGGTGGTGGTGGTGCATCAGGTAGTGATGACACGGCTTCAGACTCATAATCTTCCTCTTGGATCACCTCGGCTACCACCGTCTCCTTTGGCTTTGCTCCTTTAGACTTCTTCACTTTGGCCTTCTTGACTTTAGCTTTCCCTCCACTTGCTTTGCCTTTGGTCCCAGATCGTCTGATTGTATTGAAATGCATTTCGAAAGTGATGTTGTATACAGAAATATATTGAATACGACCGCAAAGACCTTTCACGAAACGAAGTCACGCATGGGATCTACATTCTTACAAACTGCAAGCTTCTCAGTAGACCCGTTCATATTCAGTTTCCCACACAGTTAAAAATTTAGTGAACATGTTGTTTAAAAGTTTAAACAACTGTTGATTAACGGGTGACCTGATCTAAGAGTTGTTTAAAATGTTAAGCAACTCGAGTTGTTTAAAGTTTAAACACTTAGTTGATCAACATTTTGAACAACTTGTTTAAAATCACAATTTAAACAACTGGTGTTGTTTAAAGACGGTTGTTTAAAACGGAGCTGTTGTTCAGTGGGGGTTGTTTACACCAACTGGGTTGTTTAAAGAAAGTTGTTTAAAAAGGAGCTGTTGTTCAGTGGGGGTTGTTTACACCAACTGGGTTGTTTAAAGAAAGTTGTTTAAAAAGGAGCTGTTGTTCAGTGGGGGTTGTTTACACCAACTGGGTTGTTTAAAGAAAGTTGTTTAAAAAGGAGCTGTTGTTAAATAATAATAATAATATTGGATTCTTATATAGCGCACGTATCGACCTTGCAAGGTCCTCAAGGCGCTCCAACATTACCCGGCTATGCTAGGCTGCCATAGGACATTAGTTCCGCGGCGGGACTCGAACCGTGGACCTTGTGATCGACAGTCCGGCGACGTTTCCACTCATCCACGACACGTCTACAGCTTGGTTGGCCATGATTTGAAACAAATCTTTTAGCCAACGCGCACTTTACTGGCACGTGACACATGACGTCATATGTAAACAACACTGTCTAAAAGCTCTCGTATAGTAAATAAAGCAGTCATTAAATTTTAAACAGCGAATGTTTAACAAAATTACTTTCGTTTCGAGCAACATTGTTTACAATTTGTTCAACTGTTGTTTAAGATAGTGTACAACTGTAAGTGAACATCACTTTTTTAAGCAGCGTTTTTACTGTGCATTACTTTGCTGTTCTAGATCTCAATCTGGTTTTTTTTCCTTCTGAAATCAATATAAATATAGTCTAGGTCTTAAACTTGAATAATTTGCGGCATAATATAAGCTTTAAAACAACAAAAATCAAAGCAATTTCACTCGCCTTATTTATAATTTTTTCAAATGTGCGAATATAACTATGACGTGTTACGTAATACGAACATGATTTCTACATGATTTCTGCATTGAAGTTGCCCCAGTCTTGATTTTCGACAGAAGTTGCGATGATGTTATTGACTGCTTTAGTTTCCCAAGGAGGGGGGGGGGGGGGGGGTGGAAGGGGGTACCCGGACCTGCCAATGATGATAAAACATACAAATTATCTCGAGATCTGTTTGATTTAGGTTTTCGTCTATCGCAAGAAATTGATAAAAGCTATTAACTACGTATGTCGTATTACGTTCAAGTGTTAATTTTCGTTAGTTTGGATGTAAGAAAGTAGAATAAATTAGAGAGATACCTCTGGAATACGACGACGACAATGATCACAATGAGGGCAACCAGAGGTATAGTTGCAGGAATGATCATCTGCATCGCGGAACCTGTTAAGAAGATAAAATACATGCAATTTAGAGCAGAGTCAAATAGATAAAATATCAGTAATGGTTGACATTAAATATTGATTTAATAAATAATATTAATAATACTAACATAAATAAACTAATAACTTACAAAATGTTCAAATTATTTCGTTTCATTTCCTTATTTGATTTATTTTCATTTCCCTAAAAATACAAATTTTATGATCATAAATATTATGCAGAATCGTACAAACAGTATTATATTTGAAAAAAAAAAAAATTATTACAAAAATGACTACATTATTTCGAAAAAGAAAAAGTAAAATGAAACTCTAACAGTACAACAATTATGATTAAAACTTGATGTGCAAATGGAGATGCCTATTGTAATATGGTAAAGTCTTTCAATTAGACCAATCTCCGTACGTCTACATGAATATCTTTGTTTTCCTTTTCTACATCAGAAAAATAAAACATCAGATCGATATGTAAAGTGTCTCTAGTACGTGCATCGGGACTATCGGTACACTATTTGAAAATTGAGATTTTATTTAAGAAATTGAAATAAATTTTATACAAACGTATAACGAAAGTGCCTAGCAGTATATCATATTTTCTTAAAATAGGCTCTAAAAGTGTGGAGATTCAAGTCATCATGAAGTAATCTATTGCCACAGTAATTGAACCCATCCTTTTTCGGAAACCCCAAAAGTAATCATAGGATTAATATTGACATAAAAACTTACCGCCGCCACCGCCACCACTCTTGGAGTGAACTGAAAGATATTGAACAGGATAGAGAGTTAGGCCTAATGACAAGCAAATGGAACAAAGACGCCCAGCAGGGTAGAATAAGCAATATCATAACCCATCCATCTTTGAGAACCTAAAATTTCTGTCACGAATTCTCGTTCGACAATTATGACAGAATTGATTTCGTAAACGTTTTCCATGTGATCTATGTGACTCATGTTACTTGTAGTTAGGATGGATGTTCAGGAATGATTTACATTTCATATGAGCTAGAGTAAGATTTGTTGGACTCATAGCCCTACTTCCGAACGGTTATGTAGAATAAAACCGAGCGTAAAAAAAAACTTATAAAGTCAGTGCGAGTATGCCCGACCTTACAACTGGAATATTATTATACCATAAGGTCAAATATGACCAACGCTGATAAATCTACTTCTTAAATTAAAAGTAAAAGTAATACAAAATAAGTGCCTGGGTATGATAAGGATAATCACTTACTTTTTAGAAGAACAACATGGCGGTTGAAAGTTTTGTCTCCTGATAGCACTGAACAGACATAAACGCCCTCATCGTCTGGTTGTACACGTTTGATTTCAAGGTCTGCAAGGTCGACAAGCACAAAGCGATCTGCAGGATAGCAAATATCAAATGATAATGTATTCATGGGAACAGCGGAGAAGAAACACATTGTAAACTAGTGTTCATAATTATCTTAGAAACAATTTGTGATCAACTTGTCTCTATAAATTCAACCCAATCTGCGGAATAACAAGTGGCAAGTGGTATAGTGTCCATGAGGGGCAGCGTAGAAGGGAGAATCATCTTTTGAAGACAAAAAATGTTCATCTTGTCGCTATAACACCATGGTCCTTGCCACTGTACATGATAAATCAACCCAAAGCTTATACCTCCTCGTCATTTGGCTTTCAAGGTCAGCTAAGTTGACAAGAACTTCCAAGAACCTGATGTAAACCTCTTATAATTTATGTCATCGTTATAAAGGGACATGGAATATCTGCCATGGTGAAAATACTTCGTCATGAAGGTACCCGCTTATGTTACATGGATGAAAATAAAGTCGTTCTCAGTCCATTCAGAGCTTACATTTTCGGGTGGGTTTTTGCTGGGGAAACCTTGGCGGGGAACAATCGTGACAAGATAAGATATTTTTACAAAACAAGTACTCACCATCCATCTTTACGGGTTCTTCGTTCTTAGACCAAACAACCTCCGACCCAGGATGGTCTTCAACGAACCGGCTGTCTAGGCAACTGATGACCACGCCCTTTCCTTCCTCGGCCTTAAATTCACTGATAGCTGTACTATCTAGAAAACAAATTCAATATTTCCTCGAAATGATGATATTATTACAAAGTGATAGCCTTTGCATATTTTAATCGTGAAACTTTTCCTGAAAGAAGTAACTAATCATGCATTTTTAATGGATTTTGTATAACGTAATGCGTTCTGTCGACTTTCACATGAAGCGTAGTAAATGGAATAAATGGTGGAAACATGCTGGGTCCTAAGCCCAGGCGCGGATCCAGGGGGGGGGCCGAGCGGGCCTTGGCCCCCCCCCCCCCCGCAAAAAAAAAAAAAAAAAAAAAGAGAGAGAAGAAAGGAAAAGAAGGGAGAAAGGGAAAAAGGAGAAAAAGGGAAAGAAAGAAGAGGAAGAAGAAAAGAAAAGGGGGAAGAAGGAGATCGGGGGGGCCGAAAGGGCCTTGCCTCCCAGGCTGTTAACCCCACCCCCCCCCCCCACCCCAATCAAAAAAAAATAAGAGAGAAGGAAGGAAAGGGAAAGAAAAAAGGAAAAGAGGAGATACTGGCGTACTGATAGAGGGGGGGGGGGGCTTGGGGGAAATCAAATTCAAACGTGGTTTATTTCTAATTCCACAACGGTGGATTACAAATAATGCTGACATGACATAATTTCCGAAATTTGTCCTCACTTTTTAATAAATTATACGTTTGTATGTGTTTGTTGAAAAATGACATATTCCTAAATTTACAACCAGGCAAAAAATATGATTCTTGAGATTCCTACATGTCAGGGCCCGAGGTACGGCGGGGATCGAGAGCCTCGAGCTCTCTCCCCCCCCCCCCCCCACTTTTCTTGAAAAAGTATATTAAAGAGAAATAAAATAGAATGAGAGCAAGAAAGTAAGAATAGTTAACTGCCAGTGTTAACAAAATAATCTGACCGTGATTAAATGCCTAAACCCCCTAAGCTTCCGGGGGCTTTGCCCCCTGGATTCCATCTAGGGCCCTACGGCGGGCCCTTAGATGATCATCTGACGGTAATTTAATGCCTAAAACCCCTGATTTTTTGGGGCTCCGCCCCCTGGACCCCACGCCAAATAGTGACTTGCCAGTGTCACAAAATAATAAGGTATACATAAAAATATGCTCATCTGACCTTAATTAAACGCCTAAAACCCCTGAGCTTCCGGGGCCGGCTCCGCCGCCTCGGCCCCACCAGGGGCCCTAAGGCGGGCCCCTGAATGCTTATCTGACCGTAATTTATTGCCTTAAACCCCTGAGCTTGCGGGGTCGGACAGGGTATCAAGATTGTGTTTATCTTACCGCAGGCGCGTAGTCAGGGGGGGGGGGGGCGGTCCCCCCAATCGGAAGAGGACGAAGGAAGAAAAAGGAGCAGACAAAGAACGTCTTTGAAATTCAGACAAGGATTAAAAGTATAGAGAACGGTACAACGCATCGTTTTCTTCCTCTAATAATAAAACGTCAAAGCCTCGCGCAGGAGGGGAGGGGGGGGGGGGGACTGAATTCAGACGAGGGTTCAGAGGCAAGAACGGTAATACGGTAATACTTTAATGATTTAATAAGACGTAAAAGCTTCTGCGCTTCGCGCGGGATGGGAGGGGGCTGATTTTAGACAAGGATTAAGAGTCGAGAACTGTACAACGAATCGTTTTCTTCCTCTTATGATTTAATGAAACGTAGAAGCTTCCGCGCTTCGCGCAGGAGGGGAGGGGGGGGCTGATTTCAGACAAGGATTAAGAGTCGAGAACTGTACAACGAATCGTCTTCTTTCTTTAATAGTTTAATGAAACGTAAATGCTTCCACGCTTCGCGCAGGAGGGGAGGGGGGGGGGCTGATTTTAGACAAGGCTTAAGAGTCGAGAACTGTACAACGAATCGTCTTCTTTCTTTAATAGTTTAATAAAAACGTCAAATCTTCCGCGCTTCGCGCAGGAAGGGGAGGGGGGAATTGAATTTAGACAAGGATTAAGAAGTCGAGAACTGTACAACGAATCGCTTTCTTTCTCTAATGGTTTAATGAAACGTAAAAGCTTCCGCGCTTCGCGCGGGAGGGGGAGGGGGAAACTGAAATCAGACGAGGATAAAGGGTCGAGAGCGGTACAACGAATCGTCTTCTTTCTTTAATAGTTTAATAAAACGTCAAAGCATCCGCGCTTCGCGCAGGAGGGGGAGGGGGGGGGGGGGGACTGAATTTAGACAAGGATTAAGAGTCGGAAACTGTACAACGAATCGTTTTCTTTCTCTAATGATTTAATGGAACGTAAAAGCTTCCGCGCATCGCGCGGGAGGGGGGGGGGGGACTGAAATCAGACGAGGATAAGGGGTCGAGAACGGTACAACGAATCGTCTTCTTTCTTTAATAGTTTAATAAAACGTCAAAGCTTCAGCGCTTCGCGCAGGAGGGGAAGGGGGGCTGAATTTAGACAAGGATTGAGAGTCGAGAACTCTACAACGAATCGTCTTCTTTCTCTAATAATTTAATAAATCGTTAAATTTTCCGCGCTTCGCGCGGGAGGGGAAAAAACTAAATCCAGACGAGAATTGTTTTCGAGAACGGTACAATCGTCTTCTTTCTCTAATAATGTAATGAAACGTCAAAGCCTGGGAGGGGGAAACTCGCCCCCCCCCCCCCTTGCACCGACCGCCCCCCCCCCCCCGCATTACGTCACTGTTGGTCACCATAACGTACCAATATTTGGCTCGCATAATTTCAAATTTGGGCCCCCCCCCCCCTAAGAAATCCTGGATCCGCGCCTGCCTAAGCCTGGACATGATACAAAGTGTCCATAGTCTCGCGTGTATAATTGTCATGCAGGAATGGCGTCACTATGATGATGATTCTACGGAATGCCATAGAGAGGAGTTTTGAGTTCAGGTAAAATTTGAAAAATAATTCTTGAGATTTCTCGTTCTTTGTATGTCAGTTTGGAGGAATGACGTGGTAAAATCAATCTAAAAGTATAGCTTTTTTAGCATTTTCAGATGCCCCCATATTAAATTATGCCAATTTGATTTATTTTAGACCACAATTTGTTTTCGTTTTGTACGTGTAAGCAAGAATGCGTCAATTTTCAATCAATTTTAATCTATCCAAAACCTTACAGGCTTACAGTATACATCAATCTAATGGATTGTAAGAAGGACGTCGAGTCACAAAATTTGGCCCAGACACAACCTCCGCTTCGGACATGCACGTGCAGAAAGACGCACGTCGAGATTTGAACGTATCATTACACCTACCTTCACATAGTTCATCAGCGGAGCAGTCTTCTGAATCGACATCGTCACCAAGGCAACTGTCGATGACACACTCCCGATAGCGCATGCGCACACCAACGCCACACGTGACCGCACATGACTGCCAGCTGTCCCAAGCGCCCCAATCGTCTCCACCTTCTCCTTCTCCTCCTCCTCCTCCTTCTCCTCCTCCTCCTCCTCCTCCTTCCTCTATCCCTGCTTCGTCCAGACTATCAAATCCTCCAGCATTTTCTGCGTAATAGAAGAAAATACGACTCGCACATGTCTGGCAAAAGATTGATATACGTCAAGCACAGATGCCAAAACATCAACATTCTGCAATTTAACTTGGTCAGTAATATTCTGGATATTTTAATCAAATCTAAATCAGAGTTGTTGTGTCTTGGCAGTTCTAGGCAGAAATAATCTTTTTAGATTGGTCAGCTTTAAAACCCAAGAAGAAGAACATCAATTGATGCTCAGCCTGAAGGCGGCTCGCAGACTTTCTAACCTTGTATTAGGTCTTGAGGGGTCAAAGCCCCGCTTTTTGGTGGTTTGGGGCGTAACTACAATGATGAATTAAATGTCTTTTTCCTGTCCTCCTTTTTCTGGGAAATAGACTACAACTATAGTTTTGAAGTCAATAGGAAGATGCCAGCGTTCCCGAAAAAATAAGAAGAATGGAATAATAAAAACAGGTGAAACGTACGTGAACCTTGGATTGAACCAGCACGGAAACTGGACTGGCAAGGCTGAGATCCACAATCGCTGGACTCCATGTAGCCGCCCTCGCAGTCCACGGCGAGACTCTCATTAGGTCCTTCGCATTCACGCAAGCGTGACCGGGTACCGCCACCGCAGGTAGCGCTACAACTTGACCAATCGTTCCAAGTTGACCAGTTCTTGACTTCGGATCCACTGCTTGGTTGTTTAGGAGAGCTTGACGTTGCCACACAAGGCGCAGAACCACAATCGCTTTCGTCCATGTATTCACCCTCGCAGCCCGTAGCGAGATTCCTTTTGGCATCGTTGCACTCTCGCCATCGGGTACGACTACCACCGTCACAACTGGCGCTACATTTTGTCCATTCGCTCCACGGTGTCCAAGAGGATTCCGACTGGCAAGGCGTAGACTCACAAGTGCCAGTGTCCATGTATTCACCCTCGCAGCCCGTAGCGAGATTCTTCTTGTCATCGTTGCATTCCCGCCATCGGGTACGAGTGCCGTCGTCACAACTGGCGCTACATTTTGTCCATTCGCTCCACGGTGTCCAAGAGGATTCCGACTGGCAAGGCGTAGACTCACAAGTGCCAGTGTCCATGTATTCACCCTCGCAGCCCGTAGCGAGATTCTTCTTGTCATCGTTGCATTCCCGCCATCGGGTACGAGTGCCGTCGTCACAACTGGCGCTACATTTTGTCCATTCGCTCCACGGTGTCCAAGAGGATTCCGACTGGCAAGGCGTAGACTCACAAGTGCCAGTGTCCATGTATTCACCCTCGCAGCCCGTAGCGAGCTTCTTCTTGTCATCGTTGCACTCTCGCCATCGGGTACGAGTGCCGCCGTCACAACTGGCGCTACATTTTGTCCATTCGCTCCACGGTGTCCAAGAGGATTCCGACTGGCAAGGCGTAGACCCACAAGTGCCAGTGTCCATGTATTCACCCTCGCAGCCCGCAGCGAGATTCTTCTTGTCATCGTTGCATTCCCGCCACCGGGTACGAGTGCCGCCGTCACAACTGGCGCTACATTTTGTCCATTTGCTCCACGGTATCCAAGAGGATTCCGACTGGCAAGGCGTAGACTCACAAGTGTCAGTGTCCATGTATTCACCCTCGCAGCCCGAAGCGAGCTTCTTCTTGTCATCGTTGCATTCTCGCCATCGGGTACGAGTGCCGCCGTCACAACTGGCGCTACATTTTGCCCAATCGCTCCACGATGACCAAGAGACGGCTCCTCCGCTAGTCGACTGCTTGGTTGAGCTTTTGGACTGCGAGCTAGATTGACTCAGTTGAGAAGAGCTTGGTAATTTAGCACTACCCGAATATCGTTGGTCAGGTTTTGGTGGAGCTATAAGAAGAAAGACCCAATAAAGAACATTCAATGCGTTATTTCCTTCAAAGACTTTCGAAAAATCAACTTTTGGTATTTCAGCAGCCTTTTTAATTGAAATGTGTGAATTTTAACGACGTAATGATATAACCTCATCTTGATTTTTTACTACATAGGTGATCGATACATAAGCATTGACAACTTTGAGTTGATTTCTCGAAAGACTAGTCTTCACAACAACAGTGCTCGCAGTAAACAACAAACAGTATAGTCATGGGTTACTCAAGAGGAGCTTATCCAATTGTCTTTTCTTAGATTAAAACGTTCACGATCAGCACATATTTCAGACGAATCAGGAATCTTGCACTTCGCCATCCCACTCCTGCGCCGCTCCTGCGTCTTTTTTTTTTAGTAAAACACTGCGACCGTCATTACCGTCCATTTAAGTGCCCGAATTACCTTGTAAAACGCAATGAAAATGGCATCTCGTGAGCCATTAGCCTCACGACATTTTCTTGCCCACAACAATAGCGTTACTTCTGAGGAACAAGTAGTGGTACTTTTCATAGTGGAGAGACTAAATTGTGGGTAACATTTTCCAGGATGGTCTGTGAAATGCTCCTACACGCTATTCACGAATGAACTCGTCTGTCTATAGAGCCAGAAGGGTGTTCATTTCTGAACTCTGATTTGTGTAATAATAATATTGTTTTGTTTCTACCTGACTGCACTGAAAGCATGTGTATGCTTGGAGGTAATAAACAAAAAGGGACAGACGGCTTCAAGTTTTCTCCGATGGACTTAGCCTAGTTATGAGAAATACTTTATACAAGAGCGCTAGCGCATCGACTTGGTTTCGAACCCGGGTAGCGAGACCACTGCTCTACCACTGAGTCATCGCGCCTACTTTGACGCAGAGTTAACTCCCTTTTGGCTATAAAGAGATGAATTGCAGGAATCCAGTTGATCAGGCAACATCAGTATTCACTCACCGCTTTCGCCGGAGCAGGATTGTGTATTGCATTCCTTTTTATTTGTATCTTTGCCCGGACATCCAGGCATCCATTTGCCGTTCTCCTCACAGTCACGGTACCGTACTGTCTCGCCGCCATCGCAGGTCTTACTGCAATCCCACCAAGTCTCCCACTCCGTCCACTCAGCAAAGTTTTCTGCAAAACGATGTATTTTTATTAAAAAAACAAAACCCGGCATAAAACATTAAGTCTATCAATAATTCAGACACATCGACAGAACGGAGTTACCCATCAAATTTTAAGTCTAAAACTCAAATATTCTTTTTTTTCTTTGGGTATGGGAAGGGGTAACATTTCCGGCAAGATTTATACGAAATGAAAATAAGGTGGTGGTAATGATGGGCTTGAAAAGGAATCCATCTTTCGGCGATTGTTGATATCTGGTATCATTGTCCTCTGCAGGAAATGTGAATTTAGCTTCGAATGATCATAATATTTTTTCTTCTTTGTTGATTATTTGCTTGAAGATGGGTTCTCTAGCATCATCTGTCAAAATAATAATTCAAGGTGAACAGTCGTCTGACAAGCTGGCCGACATCAACCGATTAGGGAAATAAGTCACACGATTATGTGTTTCCAAGAATGTTTTATGCAGGGCTAGCTACGCAACAACAACAACAACAAAATAATATTAATAATAATAACAATAATAATAATAAGAAGAAGAATAAGAAGAAGAAGAAGAAGAAGAAGAAGAAGAAGAAGAAGAAGAAGAAGAAGGAGGAGGAGAAGAAGAATTATAACAATGATAATAATATTTATGATGATAATGACAATAATGATACGTATCATAATGATAATAATATAACTCTTGGCGTCCACTAGACCACGACACCTACATTGTTCCTAGACAGTGGGTTACAGTAATAAAAATAATGAATAAATAAATAAATTTAAAAAAAAATAAAAAATAAATAAAAAAATAAAAATATGAATAGAATAAAATTATTATTATAGGGAGCTCACTGGGCCAAATACTAGGTCTTGGTATTCCATAGCTAGAGAATGGAGCTGGTGTGCAGAGCGCGGATCCACAATCGTCATACGCCATGGTATCACCCTTGCAGTCCCCAACATTTTTTCCGTTTTTGTCACGGCAGGAACGGTAGCGGGTCTTCGTACCCCCTACACAGCTCATGCTGCATCTTTCCCACGTGGCCCATTCTGTCCAGGTACCACGGATGACCTTTTTCGGCTTAGCTGTGAATGAGAGAAATCATAGATTTTCATTTTCATTTCCTCTATACTGTTTATACATGCATCCACAATATTGTTATTTAACATTATGAAGAGCTTAATTCCAAAAGGGGCTCATTCCACTCAGTGGCGTACTCAGGATTATTTCAAGGGGGGGGGGGGGGTTTAAAATCGGGCCCAAAATTTCGCAACGACAGGAAAATTTGAAAATCGCGCCGGCCAAAAAGAGTCCAAAAAAAAAATCGCAACGACTCAGCCAGCCGAAAAGTCGCTCAGGGGGGGGGGGGGGGGGGGGGGGGGGGTAAGCAGACTTTTTGGGGGAGCCGAAAAGTCGCTCATTGGAGGGGGGGGGGGGGGGTTCACAAAAATCATACACAAAACATACACATACAAAAAACTCAAGGGGGGGGGGTTACCCCCCCCCCCCCCCCACTGTGTACGCGCCTGATTCCACTTATGATTTAAATTGATTTTGTTAGATGAATAATCATATGCACTTGCACATGCGAATCAAATGCACTATATTGCATTACAAAAGATATATATATATCGAAAGGTAGAAAATTTCGATTACAAATTCTGTTTCATTCCAAAAAGAGCTAAATCAAAACCGGTTTCAATTTAAAAGGGGTTAAATCTACTCTGGTGATAACAAATTTGATTTTTTTTTTTGAACGACTTTTTTTTCCTATAGCGCGGTTTCATGATTTCTTGGGGTATATAATATTGCAGTTATAAGTTTAGACGATCACTGCAAGATTTCAATAGATTTAACATATTTAAATTAATTCAACCAATATTTTTGGATTTAAATCCTTTTGGAATGAAACTCCTCACATATTTTTTTCCACAACTCTCTTTTAAAATAAAATATAAATCCCTTATCAACAAACAAGAAAGTATTTGTTACAGGAGAGACTCCAGAAAGGTAACCTATTTTAATTATCCGGAATTTCCCTGAATACCCCCTCATTCCGCTTCTACGTGTATTAAAGGCAACATCACGCAGGGGGTCGTACTTCCCCCCTATCAACGAGATCGTACTCACGTTTTTGACCCGGGCATAACTGTACGTTGCATTAAGATCATCTACGTCTGGACCGCCGCAAGCAGTAAAGGAGAGGACGCTATGGATGTCACGCTCATTGCGACACTCACGTTTCCGATACTTCTTCCCTCCTCCGCATGATCTACCGCAGTGCGTCCATTCCTCCCAGTCGGTCCATGATGCATAGTCTGTATAGCAAAACAAAGGGGTATCCATAAGGCCTTTATTAAAAAAAAGATGTTATTGCCCTTTGCGACCCACCGAAAAATCTTGAAATGTACGGTCGGTTTTTTTTAAAAAGTTTTTATTTAAACCGTTTTTTTAGAAGAAAAAAATGTATTAAAGCATTCAAAACTGAGAAATATCAGCCCAAAGAGGAAGTTTAAAAAAAGAAGAAGAGGTTTTTTTTTAAAGAAAGATTTACGACTGACCGACCGATGTTTTGGCAACTAAAGGGCGATACACCACCTTTTTTGTTAGGCCTAATCATTGGGGTGACGTGGTTCATTCGCTGGACTAAAGATTAGAGGACAATAACAATATTTAAAAAATATATGAAGATAAAATAGTTATAGAAATAGTTATAAATGAATATATGATATTTGTTTTTAAATCAAGAAAATTCAATAGGATTATTCAAAAGCACAATTTGCATAATCATAACAACTTACCTAAAATTCGATAGTCCTTTGTCTTTGGCTTATCCTTCAGCTTGGGACAGCTCGGTATGCCACAGTCCTCCCACTCGTCAGATTTACCATAGCAACCCCTCACGAAGCCGGTCTGCCCGTAATCGTAACACTCGCGATATCGAAACCTCTTGCCGCATTTCCCGATGCAGGATGACCACTCATCCCAGTCCGTCCAATCCATGAAACCTTTGACCTGCGGAGCTATCAAAAGGAAATAATGATAATAGATTGTATAAGATGATGACTTGGATCCTAATCAAATGATTGGTTGAAAGCACACATGTGACCAGGTTCAATCTGTATATGTATGCCAATTCGAGTTTCAGTTAGATGTCTGAACTGTAAACATCGGAACAGTTACAGGTGAATTTTCCTTTGGAAGTGAAACAAGAAATTTCAAATCATTGTTTTAACCATCCCGATGAAACTCTTTCATAACAATATATACGTGTGTTAAAAGGGGTGTCATGGAAATAATCAAGGCTGGAAATGGGTATTTTTGCAAAGACATTCGAGCTGCATAAATCAATCCTTCCGTCAATATTTTTAGTGCCAATTTTAGTGCAAAAATTGAACGTGTTGCAAATGAGCGAGCGTGCAGATCGACAAGCGAAGAAAGCAAGCTAGATGATAACTCACTGCCTTGGGTTGGGCATAGCTCCACCTGGCACGTTTCTCTCCTTTCATTTTTCCCAGGGCATTGTGGAGAAAACATCGGACCTATATTAGTTTCTAGACATTTTCATGAAGAAAAAAGAAGAAGAAAAAAAGGAGAAAAATTATATGAGTCTTAAAAAGTAAATGCGATTGATCCGAATCAATCGCAAGTCCTGTAACAAATCGCAAGTTTGGAGTCCCCTATATATACATAGTTGCAATTATTTGCAAGTTTTTTGAAGACAGGGCCGAGGTCAATGAATTTCGGTGAATGTAATTGTATACAAATAAGACCTACAAAGGGGGGGGGGGGGATTTCACAAAGCATTTTTTCAGTGACAAATAACAAAAATCAGTGACAAATCTGCTGATAACCAATCAGAAGCAAGGATTTCAGTAGCTTATAACACAAATTGTCATTTGTCACTGATGACAAGTTTTGTGAAACGCCCTCCAGGACTTAAAGCGGACACAAAATGATGCCTGTAATGCGAACGACCTACATGAGAGAGGAAACGCTTCATTGGTGATCCTTAACTTTAGGCTAAACAAAAAGAATAATCCTTCAATTTACATACTGCCCTTTCGGAATTCTTAAGAGAAAGAATGAAAAAGAAAATCATTTTCAAATTGAAGCAAACCACAAACAATTTCAGATTCAGAATCCTATCCTTGTGATCTGGTGAAAACAAAGGTGCGTTGTGTTTCCATCCCAAACGGGATGCTGATTTGCATTCTATATGAAATATAATATTTTGAATCGTAAAAGTAGGAATGCTTTTTATATAATAATAATAATATTGGATATTTATTTATTTGAAAGGTGTTGTAACGATTCAAGCTCTATTTGCTTATGTTTCATCAACTTTGTGTGTTCATTCTTTAAACTGTATATAAGTTGCAACTTGTCTTTGATAAAACAATGTTATATTCTTTTCACGTGAAGTTAATTCAAATGTATTGTAAAATCGAAAAAGATTTGTCATCTTATATTAATTTTTCATTTGATGTTAATTTCAATGAATTGTGAAATTGAGAACATGCATAGCCTAAATAAATAAATAAAACATTCCATATAGCGCACATATCCACCTTGCATGGCTCTCCAACTATTACCCCGGCTCTGCTAGGCAGCCGATTTTGGCGCTCACAGCATTCAAGGAAGTTTTGTGAATATTCTTGATTTATTTTGTGATGGTCTAGTGTAGCGTTTTTCAACCTGGGTGCCGCAAGTCATCTCTTGAGTTGCCGCGAGAGAGATTAATTAGAGACCTGTTTCTTGATCCATTATAAACTATTTGAAACTGCCATTTATTTTCATAAAGAAATAACATATTGAAAAAAATGAAATGTCTTTTTTTTTTGGGGGGGGGCAGGGCGCGTAGCGCGTCGCCCCCCCCCCCCCCCAAAAAAAAAAAACGCCGGCCAAAAAAAAAAAAAAGGAGAAAAAAAAAGAAGAAAGGAAGAGGACGTAGGAAGAAAAAGGATTAAGAGTCGTTTGAGAATGGTACAACGAATCGTCTTCTTTCATTAATAATCTAATGAAACGTCAAAGCTTCCGCGCTACGCGCGGAGGAAGGGGAACTTGTTTCAAACAAGGATTAATAGTCGAGGACGGTACAACGAATCGTCTTCTTTCTCTAATAATGCAATGAAACGTCAAAGCTTTCGCGCTTCGCGCGGGAGGGGGAAAACTCCCCCTTCCCTGCACCCACCCCCCTAGCTACGCGCGCTCTGTTACTGATTCGCACGCTTCGCGTGCTCATATACCGCCCCCCATAAAATGAAATCCTGGCTAAAATTGTGTATTTATTCTACATATTTGAAGGATGGCTTCATTTCTTTGTCCTGCTCTGTTCTGCATGTATAGCTTACCTTTCAAGCATTTACGAGTTGAAACTGTAAAACCGCTGCCACATGTCTTGTCGCATGTACTCCAGGCTAACCAGGGGGTCCACTTAGGTCGGCTGAACCTATACCACAACAAAAGAAACATACAACTTGATGCAGTTAAGAGTTTGCTTCAGGTCTTGATGAATCATCCTTTGTATCCTCCTCAAATTGACACTAATATGGTGGTGTGACCATAGATTGCACGTGATCTAAATTTGGGGACAGTTTCACATCTCAAGAAATCGGAAAAATTCGAAAATCTGATACCAGCAATGGAAAGAGGAACCTTACAATTTCCCAGAGAAGAAATTTTCTTTGGAAGTGGATGTTAAAATTATAAAAAAATATTGACAAAAAAATAAATAAAAAAAAAATCGTCAAATTCACTGTCTTTTGCGTCCGTTCTGATTTTGTTAAGGTTCTAGGAATCCTCATAACAACAGAAGATTTCATCAGAATTCAAAGTAAAATATGATAACAACTGATTATATGATATACATGTACATAGCTTTATAGGCCACATATCACAAAGGACCTAAACATAGACCGCTATACCTAGAGGACATCTTTGAGTAAAACATTCGGCGATCTCTATCGAATCCTCCTCGTCCCCGCACCCGTCGGCCGCTCTTCCCAAAACATCCTCACACGGGCGATGTCGTTCTGTGTTGCCGATGCCGCAGAACGAGTTACAAGGCGTCCACGGCCCCCATTCACCCCACCGGGAATAGTAAGCCGTGGAGGTGAGGAACATCGCTGGATAAATGAAAGAAAAGAATGACAGAATGAATGTTGGTTCAAGGATTCTCTGATCGGTTGGATTTTTTGTTTTTTGTTTGTTTGTTATGTTTGTTTGTTGTTGATGATGTTGTTGTTGTTGTTGTTGTTGTGTTTTTTTTTTTTTGGGGGGGGGGGGGGGGGGCTGGTGTGACCATAGTTCGCTATTACCCCCAATGGAAAGAGGAACCTATAATTACCTGGAGACGAAATTTTATTCGGAATTGGGAATGTAATTATGACAATAGTGACGAAATATCGGCAAATTTGCTGATTTTGCGTCCTTCCTGAAATTGTTTAAAGTTACCATATGATTACGATTCAAGGGTCTAAGAATCTTAATATCGAGTCATCGAAATTGTTAGTAAAAAAGTGATACCACTATAAATTGGGTTAGACTAGATGAAATTATCTTATACAGTTAATTAATCGCCTTAAAAAAAATTAGCTGTAAACTCCCGTGCGCGAATTAAGCAGGTTTCGATTTTTTTTCTTCAAATGAATTTTCGTCCGTTTGCAGCAAATACCGATCTGACATCATATTTAAGATCGCGATATCTCCGGCATTCTTTGATGACAACTTTTCCAGTTGCACCTATTTGTCATCATAAACTTTACCGTCCATTTGGTAATAATTTGAATAAATAAATATGTGTAGAATCAAGCTAGATCTAAATCGAATATCACATTTACTAATATTTTCAAAATCTTAGCGAACTTTAGTCGCCCCTTCATATTTGATTCACCGTTTTTCGAAAAATCCAACGGTAAACGTGGCAGCTTTACTTTTGTTAAGTTTCCGGACACACAACCCCCCCCCCCCACCGTCCTGTCAATTCAAATAGATTCTAGATCTAGATAGACCACATGTTTAAAATCTATAAATAACTGAGTCTTACCTTCCACGTAGACGAGTAAAACCACCAGTCGCTGATCAATTTGCATCTGTGTAATCAACTTCTGCCACCAAAATCAGGAAGCACACTTCTTGCACTCTTTATCCAAAGGAGATGTAAACATAGTAGAAATCGCGCTCATTAATGAACAAACTCTCGTGCATGTGCTTGCCTTTTCCTTGGATTTTTCGACAGTTCAGTTCTCGATTCGACAGTTCTTTTCATACAAAAAAAAAGTAGTTTAGTTCACGACTTTTCAGCCATCTAGATCTACATCACATCCTCAGCGCAACTTTCATACGTTGCATGGCAACACGCGCACGTAATATAGTCAACGCTCGCATCATCTCTTGATTGTGATGTCACAATAAAAAATTGGTTTGTCACTATAAATGGCCTGTGTACGGCCTAGATTTTGTTTATAGGAATTCTGAGAATATTCATTTTTGTACGCACAGTTTCAAATTCAAATTCAAAAAAAAAAAGAAAAAAGTAGAAGATGTTATAAAGATGAACAGATGTCGATGGTATGACATGGAACCTATAATTGCATTTCATTTATGTCATAAAGTTCAGCATCATTTGAACAAGATGTTTGTTTAAATGAGCTAAAATTGGCTGCAGTTATTCTATTTGATAACAAGGTAAATAAATGCTTTTGTTCAAACCACAGACCCATGAAAAATGTTATCATTTTTTTAATATGAAATACTAAACAAGTTAGTTTATTAGACTTTCATGTCATTTCTGTACAAAAATCATATTTCACATAGCAACAATTTTGCTTTCGTCATGGGGTTGATACAAGCATGGCTATAATATGACTTTTCAAATGTTTTGAGTGCTAAAACGAATTGTTTACTTAGCTTGTTCTAAAAGGGGGTAAAGCTCGTAAAACCTTTGGTTATGGAACGGTAATCCCCTGTCCCCAACCAGCTATAAAACTAGAAACACCTCGCCAATTATTTATTTGCAAGCAAGAAAAGGATATCAAGACATGTTGAAGGCTCATCGAGCATGTTCTGTCCACAAAATAATATGGATGTAAATCCCGGCGCACAGTACAGTACACGATCCGATCCTGGAAGAAATGGCAATTATATTAGTTATGGAACTCCAAACAAAGACAATTTTACTGATGTAGATTGTAAATAATGATAAGAATAATACCCCGAATTTCAGAGCCCTTAACCCTTCCAGTCAGAATAAATGCCGAATCGGCGTCAAATTGTAGACAGTCATACCTTTGGTCTGACGTCACTACGAATGAACCGATTTAGCTTTTTCTCCTTCAGATAAGCTTGAAATCCCCATTAAATCAAGATTTTATTAATCACTTGACTAATAAGATTCTCTATCTTTAAGATTTGACATGTTGGAATTTTAAATGTAAAATGCTGTTATAAATTCTTCCAGAATCGGATCACAGTCGGTCTATGTTCTGTCCAATGTGCATATAAGCCTATTATGTTTGGTCATTATATTCAACAGACTGACCATTGACCTGCATGGGGGGGGGGGGGGCGGGGGGATCATGTCATGAAAAATATTTTGGGCAATGATACCCTTATTTCCCGCTCTCAAATTTTGATTTCATAGCTATTCGAGTGTTGATAATATTTAATGACCAGGGTAATAGTATATTTGTAAAGCGCTTAGAGACATTTGTATTAATATAAGATGAGCTTTGATGCAGGATACGTATTTTGTGGTGATTTATTCTTTGACACTTTTCATTCACAGTCTGTAGACGACTCTGGGACTTCTGGGTTTTTCTCGATTGAAGTATTTATTACAATATTACACAATCATGACAACATGGCACTCATATTACATTTTTAACTACACTTTACATCTTAATCTTACAACATGTACAAGCAGCACCGTACACACAAATAATTCAAGTATTAATTGATATGTTTCAAAAAATATTCTACTATTTTATTTTAACTAAACAACATTTCTATTTCAACTGAATCAGTAAGCTCACCTCTTCTACTAGATAACCGATGAGCTAAAGTTTTAATTCTGCCAGTTGGTCATCTTTTTTACTTATATTATAAACATTAAAGCAATTATACCTCTTATAAAATGACGAATAGAAAATACGCGTCACATTCGCGGATCCAGCACCCACACAACTTTACTATTTGTTACCCCCCCCCCCCATATTAACCAAGACATGTTGAAGGCTCATCGAGCATGTTCTGTCCACAAAATAATATGGATGTAAATCCCGGCGCACAGTACAGTACACGATCCGATCCTGGAAGAAATGGCAATTATATTAGTTATGGAACTCCAAACAAAGACAATTTTACTGATGTAGATTGTAAATAATGATAAGAATAATACCCGAATTTCAGAGCCCTTAACCCTTCCAGTCAGAATAAATGCCGAATCGGCGTCAAATTGTAGACAGTCATACCTTTGGTCTGACGTCACTACGAATGAACCGATTTAGCTTTTTCTCCTTCAGATAAGCTTGAAATCCCCATTAAATCAAGATTTTATTAATCACTTGACTAATAAGATTCTCTATCTTAAGATTTGACATGTTGGAATTTTAAATGTAAAATGCTGTTATAAATTCTTCCAGAATCGGATCACAGTCGGTCTATGTTCTGTCCAATGTGCATATAAGCCTATTATGTTGGTCATTATATTCAACAGACTGACCATTGACCTGCAGGGGGGGGGGGGGGGGCGGGGGGGATCATGTCATGAAAAATATTTTGGGCAATGATACCCTTATTCCCGCTCTCAAATTTTGATTTCATAGCTATTCGAGTGTTGATAATATTTAATGACCAGGGTAATAGTATATTTGTAAAGCGCTTAGAGACATTTGTATTAATATAAGATGAGCTTTGATGCAGGATACGTATTTTGTGGTGATTTATTCTTTGACACTTTTCATTCACAGTCTGTAGACGACTCTGGGACTTCGGGTTTTTCTCGATTGAAGTATTTTATTACAATATTACACAATCATGACAACATGGCACTCATATTACATTTTTAACTACACTTTACATCTTAATCTTACAACATGTACAAGCAGCACCGTACACACAAATAATTCAAGTATTAATTGATATGTTTCAAAAAATATTCTACTATTTTATTTTAACTAAACAACATTTCTATTTCAACTGAATCAGTAAGCTCACCTCTTCTACTAGATAACCGATGAGCTAAAGTTTTAATTCTGCCAGTTGGTCATCTTTTACTTATATTATAAACATTAAAGCAATTATACCTCTTATAAAATGACGAATAGAAAATACGCGTCACATTCGCGGATCCAGCACCCACACAACTTTACTATTTGTACCCCCCCCCCATATTAACTGGGGGTGAGTGCAAAAACTTTATGTAAAGTAAATACGTCTGGGGTTGCCCCAGGAATATAGTGGCGTTACCCCTCATTTGCCCCCTACCCCTATGTTTTGCCTCTACAGTCGTAAACATTTCCAGTGATCATATCATACAAAATAATTAAAAAAGTGTCTGTCTTATAATTACGCTAATCCTGCGAACTTAAGTTTAATAAGTGAATCGTAAATAATTCTTATAACATATTATACTGTTTTCATATCTACATTTTGGAGGTCCTGTATTTCATAAAACATGTAAACAAAAATAACTGATGGGGGCTACAGCTAGCTACAGAAATCTTTGAATGTGATTTGATGGAAGCATTGTGGCAGATATTATCAACAGTTTTATGAAACAGGATATCAAAAGACAATACTTCGTTTAAGCAAAAAAAAAAAAAAGGGGGGGGGGCATATTTGGTATTCAAGGGGGCATGGGTGGCGGCCAGGAAGGATACGTATAAGTCCAGACGACCCCTTTGGCAGAATTAGAGTTGTTTATCGAACGTCGACGTGACTCGATTGCGTTCATAAGGGCGTCCATCGGATCTTCGGGATGCTTTTCCGGGGTGGAGGAGGGGGCTTAGGGTCAACATTGGACCTGGCCGGTGGTGGCGGTGGTCCAGCTACGTCGAAGGGCAGTGGTGGTCCTGGAGGGGGTGGGGGTCCGGGAGGGGGTGGGAGTCCGGGAGGGGGTGGGGGTCCGGGAGGGGGTGGGAGTCCGGGAGGGGTGGGGGTCCGGGAGGAGGTGAGAGTTCGGGAGGGGGTGGGGGTCCAGGAGGGGGTGGGGGTCCGGGAGGGGGTGGGAGTCCTGGATGGGGTGGGGGTCCGGGAGGGGGTGGGAGTCCTGGATGGGATGGGGGTCCGGGAGGTGTTGGAGGGCCCCCTGGTAATGGGGGACCTGGTGGTGGTGGTGGTAGTGCGGCATCGGGAGCAGGTGGTGGACCAGGTGGTGGGGGAGGAGGTAGAGCTGCTTGGGGTGGCGGCGGTGGTGGTGGAGGGAGCGGAGCCTCTGATAGTAGAGGAGGAGGAGGAGGTGCCGGTGGCGCACCTGGTGAAGAACCAGATGAGGGTGGTGGTTGTGGTGGTGGTGGTGGTGGAGGAGGACTTCTATCAGGCATCGATGCTAGAGATTCAACATCATCCTCTTCTTCAGTAATCTCCGGTACCTTTGAACTCTTAATATTCGAATTGTTCTTTGACTTTGAGGCACCCTTTTTAGTTGGTTTGGCTTCTTTTCTTTGACTTTCTTTGCCTTTCTTTTCCCTGGATCCTCTTTCTTTCCACAACACCTGAAATAAGGAAACCAAAAATATCAAAGTTTACTTTTCCAAAGAAGAATAACAAAATTAAAACCGAACCACCTTAATATTAAGACTAAATATTTAATTTTAAGGCAAAAGGAAGAACAGTACTGTTTTTACATTTTGAATATTTAATGTGAAAATCAATTGCATAATACTCATACAATTCAATTCAATTCAATTAGTTTATTTTTCCTCTTTTAATTTGTCATACTTACAATGATGGTACATTTTTACATTTTCACATATAAATATACATATAGATCACTTTGCATAATACAGTACATTAACAAAACATTACTCTTATGGCCACTATAGTTTAAATCTCTCAACAGTTGTTTGAAAGGTTCGCTGACCCTAGCACACGTATCATCAACCACCATCGAACACAGGCGTGCGAAGAGAGAGAGAGAGGGAGAGAGAGAGAGAGAGAGAGAGAGAGAGAGAGAGAGAGAGAGACAGAGAGACAGACATAGAAACAGATAGATAGAGTGAGAGAGAGAGAGAGAGAGAGAGAGAGAGTGAGAGTGATTGAGTGGGTGTGTGTGTATGCATGCGTGTGAGAAAGAGAGGTAGATAGAGCTATAATGAGATATAATGAGAAATATACAATTAAAGAAGATTTGAGGAACCGGGAGCAGGGGCAAGGGTTAAAGACAGAGAGAGAGACACACACACACACACACACAACACACACACACAGAGGGAGAGAGAGAGAGAGAGAGAGAGACAGAGAGAGAGAGAGAGAGAGAAAGTTGGAGGCGGGGGGGGGGGGGGGGTAGCAGAATATTGAAGGAAATCAGAAAAAGATTGGGGACAGGTGCCATTATGAATACACAGTTAGGGGATCCCTTTCACCCATTACGTCGTGAATTTAAGATATCAAGTGAAAAAGATTGAATTTCTGACAGGCCTATTCAAGCTAGCAAGATAAAAACATTGATGAATACTCTTCCCTCTAATTATTGGCTCTAGACGAGAAGAAAGCTTGTTACGACAACATTCCAGTACGCCTGATTAAGGATGGTGCATCTATTTTGGCTGAACCATTAAGACATATCTTCAATCTTTCATTGGAAACAGGAAATTTCCCTGATCAAATGAAAATTGCTAAAGTCAGTCCACTGTTTAAGATAGGTAATAAACATGAAATGGGGAATTATAGACCCATTTCTGTCTTACCAATTTTGGGTAAAGTATTAGAAAAAATAGTTAATGCTCGATTGACCAGTTTTCTAGAAACGCATGACATTTTATATCACCATCAGTACGGATTTAGGAAAAAGTATAGTACTAAATTATCATTAATTAATCTTATGAATACGGTATTGAAAAGTATAGACGAAGGATGTGTTACGCTTGGTGTGTTTCTTGACTTTCAAAAGGCTTTTGACACAATAAACCATAACATATTATTTAAAAAGCTATCACATTATGGCATCCGAGGACATGCACTGAAATGGCTCGAAAGCTATCTTAGTGACAGAATGCAGTTTGTGAAATACAAAGAGTCATCATCAGAAAGTAGATATATCAAATGCGGTGTACCACAAGGTTCTGTCTTTAGCCTATAATCTAGGCGGAGTGCCGAGCTTTTTTCTTTGCTGCTAGACTAACCCTAAGCAGAACGTCTGATACGACGAGACTACGAACCGTGAGTCGCGAAGCGGCTCACCGCCTATAATCACTGGTCTAGCTTTAGTCGTTGTTTTTTTATTATCGACCATAAATCATGAGGTTTTTTCGTACGAAAACTGCCACGGATTCATGGTCGATAATAAAAAAAAAACGACTAAAGCTAGACCAGTGATTATAGGCGGTGCGCGGCTCACGGTTCGTAGTCTCGCCATATCAGACGTTCTCTTAGGGTTAGTCTAGCAGCAAAGAAAAAAGCTCGGCACTCCGCCTAGATTATAGGCTATTCTGTCTTAGGACCAACTCTGTTTTTAATCTATATAAATGACTTGCCAACTGTGACAAATTATTTCAATTTCAGACTATTTGCAGATGATTCTAATATTTTTCATACTTTTCCCAAAGGTGTAGATCAAATAGATGAGTGTGAAGTAAATGAAAATTTAAAATCCATACAGAATTGGTGCACTGCAAATAAGCTTACTATCAATGCGTCAAAAACCAATTTCATGTTCTTCAGTATTCGTAGAAGAAAGGCTGTGCTTAAAGGGAGATTAAAAATATCTGGGGCAGAATTAAGAGAAGTGGAGGAAGCGACATTTGTTGGCATTACCATTGACAGACATTTTACATGGAATTCACATATAAAATCTGTTAATGACTGTATACGGAGAAAGGTCGGCATCCTCTTTAAATTACGGCACTTTGTCCCTAAACATATATTGATACTGTTGTATAAAGCTCTTATACAGCCACATATTACATATGGCATCGAGGTTTGAGGTTTGGGGTAGTAATAATTACGTCGTGTTCTGTACAATTCGGTACTTGTCTAAAAAAAACTGTTACCAGAGATTAACATTCTTTAATAAAACCCGATTTTGACAAAGTTTCATCTTGATTTAAGATTTCGCCCTCCAACGTCAGGCCGGGTTTCCAATCACAGCACGTTTCTCAGTACTGTAACTCGGCGTGAATAAAAACAGCGAATCATGAAACCTCAGCGGAATATAGTTGAGGGCATACATCCACACGGAAAATGGCTAATGAATATTTTACATACCTCTGGCATATGCATATTCCAATGATCAAAATGAGTGCAGCAAGGGGAACGGAAGCGGGAATGATCATCTGCATCATGGCATCTGTTATAAAGATTTTAATATTTATATTACGTTTGACTGAAATGTGAAGTTTACGGATGTAACTACTGTATTATGTGTAGGCAATTTCGACGTTTGAAGAATCGATACTCGATTATTTGGATTCGTAACATTAAAAACGTTATATGATCTGTTTATCAGAATAACTCTCTCTTAACATCACATTTTCTCTACAAAATATCGCAAGTACAATCATGATATACAGTTATCCCTTCGACAAATTCATGTGGGCCTACATTGTAATGAGACTCGAACTTAGATAAAGGTGTTAATCACTTAATGTTAATCCCAAAGTCCGAGTTTCGAGCCCCACCCACATCACTAACGTCCTGTAGCAAGTCCCCTTTAGCCTATAGAAACAGCGATGCCTTTCATAATAGCCAATACATCTATAATATCACTAGTCATAAATCAAATACTATTCGATAGGTTGGTCTAATAAGGAGCTTTAGATGCAGTTACTATGGTAACCTCTGGAACATTATGCTTCTCAAAGTTATAGGACGTCCTTCGTGGCGTAGAAAAGCAGGGGGGGGGGAAAAGAACTTACCGCCACCGAAACCATCTGCCGAGTTAACTGAAAAGGAAAAATGGGAGCGAAGAGATATGATTCGTTAAAACGAGAACACATAAGATGGTGATATTTGCAAGCAGTAAGCATATGAAGTAGATTGTCTTTCATTGCAGAACATAACATGCGTGATGATTTTAAGAGCGTGCTAAACACCCGGCCCCCCCCCCCCCCCCCCCACTCAGGTTTCGAAATGACCGCATGCGTGTTGCCAAAATGTCCGGTAAAGGGGTACTTTTCGTGCGACAAAGTCCGGCCCGAGAATTGTAAAAAAAGGGGTGTATTTGACTTTTCACCCGGAGATTTCTTTAAAAAGGGGGTGTTTTTTCTTTTTTTTCTCTCATCTCTTTGGACTCCTGAGAAATTATTCCGAATTTAGGGGGGTACATTGAGCATTTTTTCCTGATTTAGGGGGGTCTCCAAGGCAGGAAAAGCCCGCGAAAAGCCCGCGAAAGGGGGGTTCGGAAATGTTGGCAGTCCTCAGATAGGGGGTGCTTTCAAAAAGAGGGAACGAGCATATGCGTACCCTAAATAACACTGAGTGGGGGGGGGGGGGCGGGGCTTAACAACAATGGATCGGCAGTCTTTAAATAACTATGTTTGTATATTACATGCCCAAAACTACCTTAAAGGGACTTTGTAACATTGTTCAGATGAGAGATAGTGGTGCTAAGGTAGTGACTTCAATGCTAGATGTACAATTAAAGATAATCCGAAAATTTGAGTGAAAACAAATCATTATTCATGGTACAAATTGGGAAAAACTGATCTGATCGATTCCTATATTATTCTAGTTCTATTCTGCTACTTCTCAAAGCCTTATCAGCATCAAGACTAGGACAATTTAATTACATTTTAGGTAAATGTAAATGGTCACAAAGCAATAAAATGGCTCTACATTCAATTCCAGACAGTTAAGTGTTGACAGATTTTTATAGCCTGTTTTATGTATTTTTCTCATGGAAAAACGGTTGGGAAAATTCAAAAATGGTTGGGAGAATTTACTGTTAATCATTGTTAGAGGGTGCCTCACATCGACGCCTTCAAAGAAAACCATAGATATCTTTGTGGTTTGAGAATTAGTTCAGGATTTTTTGCATGTCACAGGGTTAGTATAGTAGAAGGAATATAGTAAGTAACATTTTATACAAAAATTAAGCAATTTTTTTCATAAACCTTCAACAATGTTACCGAGTCACTTTAAAGTAATTTATGGTTGGGTCATTGAAATGAACAAATAATTTAATAAAACATCATAATGAGCAAACAAGATGTTGACTTCCACCTTTTTTTTTTATTCATTTTTTATTTTTCAGAGGGGGGGGGGGGGGGTTGTAAAAAATCTACTTACTCTTTAGAAGTATGACATGGCGTGTGAATGTTTTATCTCCTGACTCCACTGCGCATGTGTAGATGCCTTCATCATCGGCTTGTACTTCTTTGATTTCAAGGTCGGCAAGGTTCTTGAGCAGAAAACGATCTGTCGGCAATAGGAAATAATTGATAGAGACATTGACTATTTCGCTCTAATAGAAAATCGTCATCCCCAATGAAAACGAGATACTAGTATAGATATGGTAAAGCTAATTTTTCAAAAAGAAATAATAATGGCTCTTTCGTTTTTGGCATTAAGAGAACACACGTTATAAAAGGGGGAACACAGCAGACAACATTTCAGGCGATAATTAACGATAATTAAAAACGATACTTAATTGGAAATATATATTCAAGCAGGAAATAGTAAAAAATGTATTGCGATTTGTTTACAACGTGAAAATATAATTTTGTTTATGTGAATATTTTTCATCTGTAAATGTGTAACTTCAATTACAAATATGTTTTACATTAACATTTACTTGTAACCTTGTATGGAAATGTAAAAGTTCACTTGCAAAATTTAGACCTATGTGAAAATTATATGTAATTTTGTATACAATGTTTTAAATGATGTACAATTTTCTTTATGAGAGAAGAGAATAAAAACCTACGAAAAATTACCAAGTAGCCAGCTATCTTTGATCTAACTTCAATACCCAATTTCTGCACTCCAAATTTTGAATAAAATACATTTATTTAAAATATAATGGTGATTTACTAATTTGTTTGATCTTAAAAATCAACCCAAAATCTATTAAAGACCGTCAACCGTCAAGGGATTAGACCACACAGCGAGGTCACTGACAGGTGGCTATCTCATTATCTCAGCTCTCAACTAACAGAAGAAAAAGAGGATCATGGGGACCAAAAGGCACTGATTGAGGAAGTTTTCTATATAGAGGGAGCAAGTAGCTACAAGTAGGACAGTGGGGTTTTAAGAAAAATACTTTTAAAACCGTCAAGAAAAGCGTACTGACCCAACAACTTGATCGGTTCCTCGTTCTTTGACCAAATAACTTTGGATCCAGGATGATCTTCAACAAAATAGTTGCCATAGCAACTGATGACGGCCCCTTTTCCCACCTCTGCATGAAATTCGCTGATAGCAGTACCATCTACGAGAAAGACCATAAAGTGATGAAGACGTGAAACTCGTTCCATAAAATATTTCTGCAAACCCCGTGCAAACCTCTTAGTGTAATAATCATGATAAAATTAAAGAGAGTAAACATTGTATTTAAATAGGCCCTCTGCGACATACTATGTGACATCGACAAAGGAGAAGAAGCAGAAGCGAAAAGAAAAAGAAGAAAGATGGGATGTGAAGAAGAAGAGACCGAGGAAGTGGAGCAGAAAACACACCAAAAATAGTTCCGGGAGTAAGAGAAGAAAGATATTTTCAGAAACAGATTTAGGCCTAAAAAGAACAAGATTTGCCTCTTTTACATACATTTATTTTTTCTGTTTTTGTTTCGTTGTGTTTTGTTTTGTTTTACTTGTTAGTAAAGAAACCTACCCTCACAGAGTTGATCAGCAAAACAATCTTCCGACTCAACATCGTCACCACGACAGTTGGAGTCTGCACAGCGCCGAGTGCGCATGCGCACACCCATTCCACACGTGACCGTGCAGGGCTGCCAGTCTTCCCATGCGCTCCACCCATCTTCTTCTTCTTCTCCTCCACCTCCTCCTCCTCCACCTCCTCCTCCTCCTCCTCTCTCTCCCCCTCCAGCCCTTCCCCCTGCAGATCCTATGAAAAGATTTAGTGGAATCGATCTGTTAATGCTTATGTGCTCAATATCGGGAAGGAACTTCTAGATGTACAAGTATATAAGTATGTGCAAAAGAACAAGTCTTTAGAGTGGAAGTTCACGCTGATATTAAGTTGGTTTAATTAAAGCAGAACAATGAGAGAAACAAATCAGTAAAAGTTTGAGCAAGATTCGTTTAAAAATAGGAAAGGTATGCAGTTTTCAAGTTGTCATCATTAGAACACAAATCGGCAACACAGGTGACGTACATGTATAATGCGAGCTCATCTCCAATTTGATCTGTATACATTTTTTTTTTAAAGAAACCGTCGTTTTCTTAGCCATTGATAACGGGATAGATTTGTTTTATACAGAGGTTAGGGTAAATGTATAATTGAAAAAAAATAATTGTTTTTACAAGATTCATAACTTTCTTATTTTCTCACGGTTTTTGCTCAAATTTTCACTTACCTGTTTCTCCCATTTTCCTTCTTCTATTAATTAAACTCAACTTAATATCATGTTGGATTTTCGCTTTAATATCTTCAACGACAAGATTGTAAAGGCATTCGAAGCGATTGATGGTAATATGTAGCAGGGTAGAACTGTTCGCTTTGCTATGTGTAATCCCCTTGGTGATTGCGAAGTGACTGATACGATTATTAGCATCAATGGTGCTCAAGATGAGCTGAATGCCGGGTACATCCTTCCAAAGCTCTCGATCACCAACCTTCACTTCTGCAACAAAGGAACAATCGCTTCAGGAATCAGGATCGCGAACAACATGTAGTGTGCCGTTATAGGTTTTAACCTTCATTTTGTAGGAGGAAAAAGCCCCAAATTTACACCAAGCAAATAAGATTAAGATACTCTTTATTTGTGAAATGGTGTGGATAAACTAACCGTACGTGTCGCCTTCTTTATGAGATGCACTGTCTGCGGAGGCCTGTTCAGAACCTGGACACCTGCCGGGGTCACACCTCTCCGTCTCCTCCACAACCATCTTTGACGTGGCACACTGGGCTTCCTTTCCACGGAGACAGGTGCGTGTTCTCTTCTTGTGCCGATTAGCACACGAGCATGCTTGCCACTCTGACCATGGGTTGTAAAGCGTGGTCATGTCGGGAGGTGGTGTGTCCGGTTTTGGTTTGGCTTTTGGCAAGAGATAATGTAAAGAGAGCATTTCCATTATTTAATCAATATGTTGTAAAACTTTAAATATGTTATGCCAGACAAAACAATTATCTAACCTAATGATTAAATGTTATATGATTAAACTGATTTGCCATAATATACCCGAAAACACAGATCCTAGGCAAAATGTCTTGCTTTGCTTTGAATGGTTTCAAAACATAACAGCTTGTTGCTAGAAACCATCATTTAAATGTACTTTTTGAAAGATTTACTTGCAGATGTCTCAGGTAAGTTAAGACTGTCGGTGTTTAATTCAATCTAATCACATGCAGCAAATCAACTTTTGATGAAAGGAGCGTGCTATAAATTAGGATTTTGCTAGGTAGCATTACTAAAATGAAACTTGAATGTTACTGCAGTACGTGTTGCCAAATCAAATCAATTTTAAATAACAATTCGAAAATGCTTCTAGGACTAGGAAGGGTGTTGTATTGCGAAAAGTTCCAATAGGTAATGTAGTTCAACAACATGACAGTCGGTGTGGTTGATAGTCCGCGGGAGGGGTGGTAGTAGTCCGGCCCGTCCGGGGGGTAGTCGTGGCAGTCCGGGGTAGTCGTACAGACATACATCGATCTTGATCGACGGCTTTGTCTTGTGAGCTATTGGTCTGCTGGAACGTCCTACATATAATCGCTTCATGTTGATATCTCGATCTTTATCTATCTTTCTATGGCCTTTAAAATTCATTGCATTACGGTGAACAAATTTGTTTCTCCTTTTTTGTGTGCAAAGATAGAGAAGATAAGAGAAGAAAAAGAACGTACTGAAATGTGATGATGGTGAACAAGGTTGTAAGCCACAATCGCCACTGTCCATGTACTCTCCTTCACATCCCATAGCAAGATTCTTATTGTCATCGTTGCATTCTCGCCATCGGGTACGACTACCACCGTCACAACTGGCGCTACATTTTGTCCATTCGCTCCACTGCGACCAAGCTTCGCTACTTGATTTATGAGTTGAGCTCCTGGACTGCGCGCTAGATTCGCTCTTACTGGCGCTGCCTGGATATTGCGCATCCTTCAAACTTAATGTCGACTGGCAATGTTGTAAACCACAATCGCCAGTGTCCATGTATTCACCCTCGCAGCCCGTAGCAAGATTCCTGTTGTCATCGTTGCATTCTCGCCATCGAGTACGAGTACCACCGTCACAACTGGCGCTACATTTTGTCCATTCGCTCCACGGTATCCAAGAGGATTCCGACTGGCAAGGCGTAGACTCACATGTGCCAGTGTCCATGTATTCACCCTCACAGCCCGTAGCGAGATTCTTCTTGTCATCGTTGCATTCTCGCCGTCGAGTACGAGTACCACCGTCACAACTGGCGCTACATTTTGCCCAATCGCTCCACGATGTCCAAGAGACGGCTCCTCCGCTAGTCGACTGCTTGGTTGAGCTTTTGGAGTGCGAGCTAGATTGACTCAGTTGAGAAGAGCTTGGTGATTTAACACTACCTAACTTTGACCAAGGACTGAACGGTTTCGTATTTTGTGCAGTTTGAGAGTTGGTGCTTTTCTGTTTCATCACTTGTGCGTATCGCGCCATGAAACTACTGGTAAATTTTCCTGGCAACTGTTGGTTTGCAGATTGCTGACCACTATTCAACGGTTTCTTTGGTATATTTATATGCACTTTCTGTGGTAGTTGAGGGGGTTTTATTGGTGGCGGTTTCGTTGTTGTTGGTGGCGGTTTTGTCGTTGGTGGCGGTTTTGTCGTTGGTGGAGGTTTTGTTGGAGCTACAAGGGGAAAGGGAGAAGTCCAAAAATCACTTTTAGAATTGTCTACCTTATCAATTCAGGAATGAGAATAATATGTGATTTACAACGACGTGCTATTACAGCATATTCACTTAAAATGATGTGATAGTATTGATTACCAGTATCATCCTTAAATATTGGACACACGTATGCCTATCCTTACCGTCCACTATCCATTATGTAGAGACCAGACCAAATAACTAATGGTAGTATAGGTCCACCAGCACCCCCAGCACCAAATAATTTACAAGTAAAAGCACGAATGCAATGTTTTGAATCATCTTTTAGTTAAAATTATGTTTCGTTACACAAATTCTGGGAAGCCAGCGATGCTGATAAGAAAGAGAAGCAAATTCACCGTCCGTTACATAATCTAGGTTTTCTTCCTCGCTATACTAAATCAGAGACAGGAAGGGAAAGTGTGTTTTTCAAGCTAGTATAATTACAATATACCTAAACTAATCGACGTACGCCTGTCAGGTTTACGCTAAACAAACCGTTTTGAGAGATTAATAAGTGAAGATAAACAGGATCCGAAACAGATTATTGATGTATTTTCTTTCTTCTATCCTTCCGGATATCTACACAACGATTGATCCACACTACTATACCACGTTGAAAACTACCTCCTATATGCAACCGAAATAATTGTCTGAGTGGGTACCGAGAGGTTTAGTTTTCCTGTGGTCATTATTCAATGGGAAGTAGTCATGGGACGTTGTCCATGGGCAGTTGTCCTAAAATCAACTTGGAGATTTTTTATATAACCATAAGCCAGCAGCTTCCCAAAACCTTGATAAGTCTAAGATCATGGGCGTCGAATAGAAACGTGACGATTATTCTGTAACTTGTTTTTAAATGGGATGTCCACTAACCTTGGCTTATGGCTGTTTCGAGAAACTGGCCCAGAAATTCGGATGATCAAAGGAGTTTGAGATACTTACGTGGGCAAGGATCCTTGCTCCTACAAATCCCCTTCTGAGAATCTTTTGATCTGCCCTCGGTAAAACAGTTTTTGGAAGTATATCCCTGCAGCAGGCATTCCCTCTTCCTGTATCGGTTTCCAAAAATACCTCCGCATGTCTTTGTGCATTCTGTCCACTCTGTCCACTCTGTCCATTTTGGAGGATCAATGTCTGAATATGTCAAGGAAAACAAATGGCACAAAGAAAGTTAACCGAAACGTCATGAGGTCACGAGACTGGATGGGCACTCTACAAACCAAGAAATACAGTATTTTGCAGCATCAGACCAGTCATACTGAAAGGCCAATACACACCAAGAAATGCAGCCGAAAAATGACCCCACGAGGACAATTACCCCCCCCCCCCGGAAAAATAACCACCCGAGGACAATTACCCCCACCCCTGAAAATAACCCCCTGGGACAATTACCAGCCCCGCCTCCCCCTTTTCGTTAAAGGGGAAGTACAGAGTGATATAAGTTGGTTTTATAAATAAAAGCTTCTTCTTCTTTTTTTTTTTCTTTTTTTTTTTTTTTTTTTGGGGGGGGGGGGTTATGGTCCACGGGGGTAATTGTCCTAGGGGATAGTTAACTATTCAGGGGTAATTGTCCTGGGGGGTAGTTTTCCTGGGGGGATTGCCCAGGGGATAATTGTACTAGAACCATAATAGATCAGTAACGCTGCACACGTTATGTAATGTACACTATGAGAATATGAAATTCCAATACCTCAGAATGTCCTCGTGTTTTAATATTTTTTCCCGACGACCCCCCCCCCCCCTCGAAAATGTATTTCTTTTGTGGCCGTATCCCTTACGTTTGAACAAAAATCTTGGCTTCACCGTTGGTTTGGAGATACTGACCCATAAATTTGCATGCAGGTACCCGGCAGGAATGTACTTGATTTGCATTTTTCCCGCCTTCACAACCTTCTGTTTTTTCTTTCCCTTTGAAGCAATACCGCCACCGGTGTTTCGTGGACAGGTTGCCACAGCTTTCAGTGCACGGCGACCAACCATGCCAATTGCCCCAGGCCACACCAGTTGCTGTTAGAAAAACAATGATAACAATAATAATATATAGTATCAATCATGATAATAATAATAATAGTGATGATAACAATTATTATGCTGATGATGAAATTGAAATTGAAAAGGGACCCCACTGGAAATAAGCTCTCGAGCTTTCGTGGGTTATCCTGTTCAAGCTGACTTATTTCTGATCTGTTATTAGTGTATATTGTTGTATGTTGGAAGCTTGTCGAATAAAAATCAATCAATCAATCAATCAATCAAAATAATTAATATTATAATGATAATAATAATGATGATAATGAAAATGACAATGATAATGAGAAATAATGATAATAATGATAATAATAAAAATAATAAAAATGATGATGAAACTACTGCTACAGCTACTACTACTACTACTACTACTACTACTACTACTACTACTACTACTACTACTTCTACTACTACTACTGCATGTACTACTACGACTACTACTACTACTACTACTACTACTACTACTACTACTACTACTAATACTACTACATGTACTACTATTACTACTACTTATTCTACAAATGTTTAAATAAAAACAATTTGAAAAACGCGTTAACTTACGAACTTTGTTTTTGCAGGGGCCCTTCTCGCAATCCATGTAGCGACGATCTTCTCCCACACAGTTCCTACCATTCAACTCGCCATCCATGCAGGTCCTGTTGCCCACCTTTACCCCAACCCCACATGTAGCGGTACAAGGGGACCATGTCCATTCAGTCCACTCTCCTATTTTTTCTGCGGGTGCGAATAGTGTGGTACGGTATGTCATGAAACAGCTCCCGTAGGATTTTTGTGCCAAAGTTGATTTTTTGTTGTTGCATTTTTGGATTCATTGGGGTCCAAGCTATCAGAAATTGATGGGGTTCAATTTTCCCGAAGACACCAAATTTCGGTATTGCGCGTTATATAAGCCATTTTGGCGCCCAATATGGACCCCCAGGAAATGAAGGAGGGGTCTGAAAATTTGAACCCCATCATTTTTGGCCAATCGGGACCCTTTTGAAGCCAAAACAGCAACAAACAAAAAACAAAAAAACAAAAAATCAACTTTTTTTTTTTTTAGGGGGGGGGGGGGGGGGGTCTCGAAATTTGAAAATTTGACATTTTGTTCCGTTGGGGGGGGGGGGTACGGTCACCTTTTTTTTAGGTCAGCCATTGTTTTTTTTTATAAAAAAAAAAATACAAATCAAAAGCGGGGCATTTTTCAGTGTTTTCCTTCAACTTTCAATGACCTGTTCCTTTCATTTTTCTGCTTCTATATGAGAACCACCTTAATATCAGGATGGACTTCCCCTTTAATTTTCGAAAATGTGATTCGCCTCCTTAAAGATGTTTTAGACAATGTTTCATGAATCTTACTTTCCATCTCGACTTTAGGAGGTGAGATGTTGTTGCCTGCAGGTCAATTTTCGGCAAACTAATCGGCAAATTTGACGCGACAACACCACCCCTTCCTTCCAATGCAGAATGCAACGCCCAAAAAAGTGAATAATATATCCTGTGGGCCTGGGGCAGTATAACTTACTTGTATCTGCAGCAGTGCAAGGGCCCCTGTCACATGGCGCGTAAGCGAATACCCATGCTTTTGTGACAGGTTTTCCACCGTTCTCGCAAAGACGAGACATCTCAAATGAGTGTTTCTGCCACGGGGTTATCATACAGCCTCGGGATCGCATATGCTTCCCGACGCCGCCGCAGTCGACGTCACAACCGGCCCATCCACTCCACTGGTTCCACAAGGATTGAGGCTTTATCTTACTCTCTGGCGAACCCTCTGTGTAGAGATGCCATAAGATATATAAAAAACATGCATGAAGATGATGACGATGGTGATGATGATGGTGATATGATGATAATGATTATGATGATATTGATGCTAATGATGATGTTGTTGCTAATGATGATGTTGTGGATGATTTTGATGATCATGATGATCAAGATGGTAATGATGACGACGATGATGATGATGGATGATGATGATGATGATGATAATGATGATGATGTTGACGATGATGATGATGGATGATGGTGATGCTGTTGATGGTGATGGTGATGATGATGATGATGATAATGATGATGTTGACGATGATGATGATGGATGATGATGATGATGTTGTTGATGGTGATGATGATGATGATGATGATGTTGTTGATGGTGATGATGATGATGATGATGATGATGTTGACGATGATGATGATGGATGATGATGATGTTGTTCATGGTGATGATGATGATGATGATGGATGATGATGATGATGATGATGATGATAATGATGATGATGTTGACGATGACGATGATGGATGATGATGATGTTGTTGATGCTGATGATGATGATGAAGTGGTGGTGATGATGATGGTATTGATGATGATGTTCTTAACTCATGCAGGGTAGCCGCATCGGTATTTTAAAGCATCTCCTCCTATTTATATATTCATTATTACCCATACCCATACGAACGAACCCATACACTGCCAAATATTCATTTAATTCATCTTGCCAGTAGCGCAACGTTACCATCCTTTCTTTGGAGGAAACTATTTTGGGGGCAAGATTTCCGTGGCGAAGATGATCCTGAACATTTATGGGGAACGTGTCCTCCGTCCCTCCCCTCTCCCCCGTCCAAGATCAGCGCCCCTGGAGTTTATGATAACATTGCTTATACCTAGAATTTAAATTTAATTTCAAATTCAAATTATTGATTAGAATCCAACCATGTAGAGACCTTCTCAACTTATATAACACAATAACACAATTAACACAGGATAACACAATTAGACATTTTCTCGTGACAAATATACAGTTCACAAACATAATTCAATTCAAATGTCACAATTACAATAAAGGGAAATGGTATCATGTTACGTCATTTACTGCAACGTGCGTCTTCAGGATTGTAATACAATATTAATACCTATATTTTTGTAATAATAATAATAATAATAATAAATAATAATAATAATAATAAATAATACCTTCTAACCATCCTAGAAGACATCTTTGGTTGAAACAATCGGCGATCTCCACCCCATCATCCTCGTCTCCACATCCGTCTGCCTCTCCTCCAAAAACATCTTCGCATGTCCGGTGTCTCTCGGTTGCGCCCCTCCCACACGATGCGTTACAAGGCGACCACGGACCCCAATCACTCCATCGGGAATAGTAAGCAGTGGAGCAGATGACCATCACTGTGAGAAACATGGGAGGGATATAAAAAAAAAAAAATCTCCATATCTAGAGTCTAGTTCATAAAAACAGTCTATAGTCTAGATCTATATGAATCATTGACATAATGAATATAACATCGTTCTGGAAAGATTCTCCTGTTTTAAATGAAACTACACATTAATACATCAATTTAGCTACTGAGGGCACAGTGTGCCAGTTCGACTCTAAAGTCTATCGAAAGAAGGAGATAAAGAGAAAACATGAAAAGGAAGATGATAGGACCCCTCCCCTCCCGCACACCTCCTTAGGCCATATCTACTCGGTGGCGTTGTTTTTTTAATTTCAATTTGACCAAGCGAATCGACAAATTTTGTCACGATAGCCCTACTACATGTATATTATCTTAAGAAAATTGACCACCAAATAACACTTAGTCTACCATCATAAGTATTTGTCATTTAGGCCTATAGTATTTCCAATGTAAGTCTTCAAGGTGTATGAACATATTTGCTCGTAAAGTTCCTCAACTTAATGTTTGAAGCAATTGTCCGGATAACCAATCTTTCCTGACACACGATTTAATGGCAGCCTAGATTAAACAAAAAAAATCAGTAGGGCCTAGAATCTAGTATGGATTTCGATTTAGAGGTCTGTCTCCCATGACAATCTAGATGTTCATTGAAAAGTAAAGTAAAATAAATCTCACCTTGGAGGGAAATCAGTACACCCACCAGTCGTCTATTGAATAGCTGCATCGGGGCGTTATAGCCATGAAGGAGCAGAAGAAGAAAAGCCACTTCGACAAAAATTAGCAAACATAATCCACAAAAGTGCGAAGTTTGTTCTTACTGTTAATTGATTGTAGACGAAGTTCAAAGCAGTCTATACCTACTTCTGCCGGTAACTGCTATAAATAATCGTTTAAAAAATATTCCTATCAAACGAACTTGATTTTCTTAAACAACCATTTTTACTTTAGAAACAGACAATCCGTTCTTTATCAAAATACTGCGGTTGACATCTTTTGATACGTTTACAAAGCGCGTAAATTATGGAGATTTGTTGCGTAGTAACGCGTAGTAAAAAAAAGAAGAGATAAGCGCATAATTATGAGCAGTGCACACGCAAAATATATTCCAATTGTGATGTCATAATCAACATTCGTCTAAAAGTGTTTGAAGTGCACAAGTTCGAAGATTTCCGTCACTCAAGATACCCTCCCAGAGATCATTTTGTACATGTTATTTTTCTATGTAGGCCTACGTTGATCAGTGATCAGTGATCTGAGTGATTTCAAGTTGGGTGTTTAAGGCTGGTGTTAGTGTTTAATAAACACTAACACCAGCCTAAACACCGAAATGGAAATCAGCTGGTGTTAAGGCTTTGACCTCTGAATATCGTCAACTTCCGGTAGCTAGTGTTATCGATTTTGCAAAATTGTCGTCTGCTGAACCGACCTTTGTGGCTGGTGTTAATATTTTACGTACAAATGTCCTATTCACTAACACTAGCCCCTAGGGATTAAGCAAATGTTGATTTCCAGTTCGGTGTTAGTGTTGTACCGCACAACAGTCAACGCACGAACGACGCCAATTTATTGTTTGACGATCAAATAAAAATATGTGAAGCAGGTAATTTATATATTCTTTTGTGTAAAATGAGTTATTTTATAAGACCAGAGAAACAGGTGTAAATTTATTCTGTACTTTTCATGATATCTTTAGTTTTGATGTACTATTTTTAAATCATCGTCGTGAAATCAAGTGAGCGGTGACGTCACAGCTGGTGTTAAGCTATCGATTTTGATATCGGTATCGGGCTCTTAATTTCATCAGCAAATGTTTCGCTCGGTTTAAGAGCTCTTGACTGCTCTTAACACTAACACTAACACTAACACCCAACTTGAAATCACTCACTGGGTATCTCGACGCCAAGTGATGAACCAGCTATAATAGTGCAAGTTGAACATATTTTGGTCGCAACGTTACAAATACAATATGCGGCATGTACATGTTTAGGAAATATTATCAATACACTGCAGGTAAACAAATAAATGAATAAAAACAACGCAAAAGAGACGACATTGTGCGGGATTGCTTTAGGCTATGTTTTTTCCGACAAAAGTACAGAGAAGGTGCATATTATTTTTGTATATTATACTTTTGAAAGGTTAATCACCCAAAGACTCGTGCCAGCCTCCCGGGCACCGTTAATGCTGGAAAGAAACGCAATTTTTAAAGAAAGCTTCACATTTTCATGCAAAAATGCTTGTTCTATGCACTTAAGTCAGCCTTGAGCGGATGACAGCGTTAATTCTATACAACTTAGATCATGGGATCGAAGGGAGGGGCCGGATGCGTCTTTTTAATATACCCAGACGTTTTGTTTTCGGACAGTTCATCAAACAGTGAATTAACAGAAGTTTAAAAGCAATATTTCATAAATAAATGGGGGCCCGTCTTCTTTTTTAATTTTTAAAGGCCTTTAACGTTACTCGGTTTAATATTCTTTTTGGGCCGGGGAGGGGGGGGGGGGGGGGGCATCCGCCTCTCCCGGGTCTCATTCCTCGTATTGACCCCCCCCCCCCCCCTTCTCCTAGTCACCCTAGAGTGTTGGTATGTAGATTATGATTATTGTGTAGTTGTATGTATCATATCTATTTTTGTTATAGTGACCCCATCATAAGCCTCATGCTTTAAGGAAATTTTGCCCTCTTCCTAAAACATTGTAAATATATATTTCATGATTAGTCTATGTTCTTTTTGTTTTTGTGAAGGTAAACAAATTGTTAGGGGTCTGCACGTTTAAAGACTACCCGGCGAACTCGACTCAGCTGATCGAAGTCGACTGAGTTGAGCTGCGCAACATAAAGACAAGACGGCAAAATGAGTCTGTTCGGAAAGAAACGTAAGTACAATATCTCTTATCAGAGAGATCAGGGCATCAGCAATTCATAATTCCCACAACGTTCTTCATATTTTGAATGTAATGTGTATCATTTTCATGATCATTTCCTCTTTCAGTGTTAGTTACCTGTCGAATTCGCTTCACCTCAGTCCCACTCAATGGATTATTTGTTGGTATAAAACTATAATGCTGCTGAGTGTGATTGAATTGAGGGTGCAAGTTTTTGACTGACACAAACATGTCTATGAGAACTTATGACAAAAAAGAAGGAGTTACACCTTGCAGATAATTGTTGGTAAAATGCTACATTTGATTATTTTCTGAAAATAGAGATAGATAGCCCCCTCCCCCCATAGGGTCTACATGTACCCTCAATTGAAGGCCACTTTGAAAAAGTTTAACATCAATGAAAAAAAATTGAGTAAATGATACATGGAAAGAGGAACATAATTTGTGAGCTTTTTGTTGTTTTGATGTTAGTGTGGGAGAATATCATTTAAAAAAATGTACCACTGAATAGGCTGGCTCTTCAGATGCCCTTGCTTTCAAACTATAACAAGAGATAGGTCTACCTCACAATAGGGTGTCTGATCGCGCACTCGGTTTTGTGTGCTAAAATCTTTCCCATAGAGATTGCACACATCCCTATGCAATCCATGTGTATTGCGCTCTCGTGCGAAGTTGGTCAATGTTTTTATTACCAAATTGAGATTCAAACCAATACTGCTTGTGATCCTGAAGGTGATACTCAATAAATGAGGTGTCGTAGAAAGAACCGGCTTTTCTCCATATTCCCCAAATATCTTGATCAAAACAGCGATTTAAACATTGGGTCCATGGTAACTCAGAGATTTACCAATTTCATAAAGTGAGCACCCGACGGAAAATTTGGGCCAGCTGTAAGGAATATATCCATGCACTTATTTTTTCTCTAGTCCCAAGGGATCACAAGCAGTTACATTTTAAAAATACCTTACCCCATGCTTTGCATATCGTGCTGTGCAGCTGTTGAGCAAAAATTATAAATATTCTGGACAAAAATTGGATGAATATTGTCTTGATTTTGGGGGGCTGTATCTTTTGATAGAAACATCGGTGAGCCTTGAAAATATAAATGTGTTCTTCTGAGTAGTTGATCTTTTCAATCATCCAACCATGATGGTGAAAAACAATCCAGAAGGGAAAATTGAAAAATCGTTCAGACACCCTACAAGTGTTTGAACCAAACTTTTAAGCCACATACTGAATAACTAAACATGTCTGTCTACAGTGCATATGATTTTTAGCAAGTCAGCCAGTTTCTTATCATTTTGATGATTTTTAATCCTCCATTATTCTTGTATTCTGATCTGCTACTAATCAACCTTGACAAATTCTTCCCAGAAAGTTTCATTCACAATGCATTTGCATCACCCAGACTCTACGTCACTTCTACATCCTAATTAATCCTGTGTACTTTTGGTTGCAGGTCAGGATGAGGTGGAGGCTGCCAGACATATGGCCATCAAGCTAACCCTCAGCAAAGAAGTGGCATCATCTATCAAAAAGGTAAAGATTACCACATCAGTGTGCTGTTTGTCCAGTGTTTGTCACTTAGAGATTTAAAGACACATATAAGTGGGCTCTCAATATAGTGACTGCTTGTAAACTGGTATTAATCAGATCCCCTACCATGATGCCCTCTTAATTTGAAATGTTTCCCTTTTAAGTTAATATGAGAATGTATCTAAAGCATATTTCTCTTTCCTTCTGGAAAGAAATGCATTGTACAAGATTGAGTTCAATGTTGCTCATCTAAGTATTTTATTAATGAGCCTCATAACATATGGCTGTCAGGAATAATTTGACTATTTTAGTATTGTGTATGTTGCCCTAGTGTATAATATATAGAGACACTATCAGAAATGAGTTAGTCTAAACCTTTTGTCCTTGTGTCCCTTCACAAAAACAGAGCAAATTAGCAGTAAATTGCTGGTTAAACTTTGATGGCTAAATTATTCATGTGATTTTTTGTTGTTGAAAATTTAGATGTTCTTGGTAGGGATATCACTTTCTCTTTGCTTTTTATCATACATTCATAAATTCATGTACGGTATGCATACATGTACCACCAGTCTTACAACACTTTTGCTTTATTTTTACTTGTCTGCAGCTCCAGCGAGATCACATTAGTCTTGATTCAGCCATTAGAAGGTAATATTTCGTTCTTTTACCACTATTCTATTGAAGAGTTTAGTTCACAATGTCAGATTGTGTAGCATATCAGAACCCTTGTATAGTTTTGATGAGCACCCCCCCCCCCCCAATTTTTTTTTCAAATTAAAAAATCATATTTTTGTTGATTTTTAGTTGATGGTTCGCTAGATGATTATGAACTCTAGATTGATGTGAACCCCTTTTCTTCCAAGCCAATATTTAAAAAATATGAAATATCAACCGAATGAGAGGGTGAGACTGTTCTTTATTTTTGTACCTAAATACAGTCCTAGTCACTATACCTATATTTTCAAAATCGGTCTAAGTTAAATCTGTATTGGAAAATGCTACCTTTAATACTCAGGCAATCACCATCTGTCTCTTCATTCAAAAAGGGACTTAAAACATTTCTTTTTTGTAAACTAGATTTTTAGGTATCTGTAATTTTAATTTTCATTTTTGTAGGATTCTTCTTGTTGTAAGCGCTTTGGGCCGCTCTGGGAAAAGCGCAGTATATAAATGATAATAATGATGATAGTAAAAACAATCTGTTCACTTATTTATGTTCCATCCCCTCAAGAAAGGAAAATGAAGAAGAAAAAAAGACTCCCAAATCCTAAACTAAGATCAACAATGGTTAGCATTATGCCTTCTTTATTTTTCTTTTTAATTCTTCACAGTGGTGACACAGCAAATCGGTTCTGTAATGTAATGGAGGCCATCCTGCTACATGAGTTGAAGGATTCATACTCATCCAAGGTGAGATACCAGGGGAGTGTTTCACAAAGACCAAGATCGACTTTATGTTGGACTTAGCTATGGCAGGCCATTCATTGCCACTGTTTGCTCTCACCATGTACTGGCATTGGTCTCTCAAGGGAAATATAAATTGTGGTCACAAATCTACAGAATTTACATTTGTTGATAGTTCATTATTGAATTAAAAAATATCATATAAAGATCATAATTGAAAGACCAATGGTGAGAGCAACTAGTGGCATGAATGGCCTGCCATAGTTTAGTCCAAGTTAAGTCGATCTTAGTCTTTGTGAAGCACTCTCAGGGATATTTATTCTTTAGGCTTGTTCCCATAAGGTAGTTAAGATTTTGTCCGTTGCAAGCAATCTAAGCTAGCGAGGAAGAAACACAATTTGCAATCTTTATATTTCTACATGAAATTACATACCGGTACTACCATTTTTTTCACAAAAATATATTGCAAAATATTTTTTGATAAAACTAAATTCCTGCCGCGGCACCCCTAGAGGTTGAAAAATGCTGGTCTAGTTCATGTAAACTAAGAGTGATATCGATACACGTAAGAGTGAATTTGATTGTGTCTTGTAATTATGCTCAAAATATGATATCCAATGATCTCTTAATCCAGAGCTTTCCTAGGATTTGTTTGGAGGAAATGGTCATATCCTCTTTCAATAGACATAAGAGTTTATCGTAGGGAAATGGTAGGAAACAGACAATCTGCATATTTAACCCATTCTCTGCCATCCTATTGGCATTTTTCAAATATAATTTTTCATTTTCATTTTCATTTCCATATGTGTGTACATTTTCATATGTATGATCATATGATGGGTAAATGCAACTGTTGGGCTGGGTCAGATTATTCTAGTAATGTAGGATAACATTATTTAAGATTCAAGTTTTATTGTCCATATTTATCATGTATAATACATTTCCATCAGAATTAGCTGCAATGTACATGTATACATCTACATATATTGTGTGAGTCACAGTACACAAAGTAATTCTAAAATCTAATTCTTCCCAATTTTTTAGTAATCTCTAATTTGCATTTAAAGTCTGTACAAAAGCATTTGATATCCGGTGTTCAAATTTGTTCCTCTTTCTTTTCTTTTTGTAGACTTTTTGGCCTTTTCTGATAAAGTTCACACACAGAGATGTTATAGAACAGATCAAGGAATTGTCTTTCATCAAAACTGAGGTTGGATTTTGTAGGGTAAGTATAATTTTGAACCTAATATTGTTGCACAGAACTTGCATACAAATAAGCATATTCATCTGTGTAATACTAAGCCTGAGAAAACTCTGGCTGGGTTTATTGTGTAAATGCCAAAATGATACTTTATCACATAGGTTGATTTGATTGAACATTATGAGTTAAAGGGGGTGTAGTATGACGAGACTACATTTCTTTCCCGTGGCCTGACTTGGGGCAAATCGGGTATAATACGACGACGCGACCTCAGTATTCATGTGGGTGCAACATACGCAAAACCGAAGCGTAAGGAGAACTTCGTTCTGTTTCACGAACGCTAGCGGGTGCTGACCATTAATCAAGTCCACTGGTTTAGGTGCAGTTGTCCAAAAGAGTCGTAGATGGCGTTAACCGTTATTTGCCATGCTACACTGCCTTTAAGGTATTATTTCTTGTCTTGTGTACATGAGGTCAAAAGATTGTACATGGCTTTAGGTGACATTGGAGATATTTACTTGTAAATATTGAACTAACCTTGTGATAGGTTTAATAGGATCAAGGGAATCCTTGTCTGTGATTAGTGTCTTAATATCATCAAGTGATATAGGCTCATACAGGTAATTCTTTGTAATGACCCTGCTCCAATCACTTGTAACGGAAATCGAATTGTAACTGAGTTTTATTGTCCAAACATACATGTACATTTTATGAGTCAAAACGTATGTGTGCAGCTGAAGTTGTGTATTCTCACTAGGTAACATCCAAAATACATTGCTCCCATTATTTACAAAGTCTTAATTCCCAGTGATGGTAAAATATACACTTACAGAGACAAGCTATAACTTGGAAAACAAGTTTCTTAATCTATCATCGTTCTTTTTTATGGGGGCGGGATGAGTTTCTCCTTCTTTTTCTTCTTCTTCTTTTTATTTTTTTTTCCTTCTTTTTCTTCTTTTTTTCCTTTTTCCTTTTTTTCTACTTCTTCTTTTTCTCCTTTTTCTTCTTCTTTGTCTTTTTCTTCTTCTTCTTGCTTTCCTTTCTCCTTCCTTTCTTTTCTTTCCTTTCTTTCTATCTTTCTCTTAACCCCCCTTCCACGGAAGGGGGGTTACATAACTGTAACTTTTAGCCTCAAAAAATATTATAAATGAACTGAACTTTGGCCATTTCCAACTCAACAATATCTTGCTTCATTATACATGTATGTATCTGCATTGACATGGAGTTAGGTATTTATGAGTATATTATATTGTAGGAAGTTTCTTGAATCAAATCTGGATTTGGGTAACCAAAAGATGACCTGCCATAAAACTAGATAGACCTTGCTGCTGTCTGATGAATCAACCATTAATTCAAGGTTCATCTCCCAGATAAGAATGTCACATCACATTGAGCATGAAGACTGTCCTCCAAATGGGAAAAATGAGATACATAATAAGGAAGATAAAAGCTTGAACATTTAGAATTTCAGTCTTATGTGTAGTGTTTTGAGGTCATGCAGCATTGCATTCTGTCTAGTTCTGATACATACATGTAGTAAGTATTCTTTTGTGCGCCTACATGTTCCTGTTTATCAATTTTTTTGTTTTAATATTTTGAAATTAAATTCTGATTGCAAATGTCTCTTATGGATATCTATTGTATATAGTTTGAAGAGTAGAGCTCAAAGAATTGGGTAGAGGTGAATCTTCATTACAGCTCTGCATCCAATGTTTAATACTTTGCTAACTATCTGGACCAATGTAAGCAATGACCCTTTACGCATCTTAATTTTGAAGCATTCTCGCAATATACTTTTAGGCCTACACGTAGTTGAGAAATGAAATGTGAAGCCATATTAAAAAGTCAGAATATATCTTGAATATATCTATCTATAAATATGAGGGAACTTTTCCAGTATCAACTATGATAATTTTATTTTAGAATAAACTAACTAGACTGAACTTCAATCTTGGCCATTTGTTAGAATGATTTTGAATGCACATGCAGTCACATAACCTGTTCTTCTTCAAGTTGAAAGATTTGTGTCTTCTAAGCCTCTCTGCACTAGTTGGCCAGGGGGATTAAGGGACCATGTGAGATCAACGGGTACCGCTTAGGCATTGTTGGCTATATAGAGGGCGCAAGTAGCTACAAGTAGTGCAGTCCTGCTTTAAATGCCCAATCTATGAACTATTATTTCGAAATTGAAACCAAAACCATATACACTTGTAGAAGTAATCCTTGAATGCTAATTGATTTTTATGTGTATTTTCAGAACAGAAACGGAAACTGTTTACAAGTAGTCTTTGAATACTAATTGCTTTTTATGATTTTGATGTGTGTATTTTCTATGTGTGCACATTCAGGCGTGGGTTCGACTGGCTCTTAATGACTGTCTAATGGAGAGTTATATATCAGCCATTCTGAGAGACAGCAAGGCTATTAGGCAGTACTACGGTCGTAACTCATTCTTCCGAGATCCAGAGCAACCATTTATCATCAACAATTACCTGCAAGGTGGGTTCGTATTACTTTTCAATCATTGTTGTTTTTTGTTTTAAAGGGAGGTTTAACTTTTTTTGTAATAGGTGAAAAAATACATGTAGAATCAAACTTTCACAATAATTTCAAAGATTAATAGTGTAATTTTTCAATTCTTTTTGTTTACCGGTAGCTCTTCTTATAGGTGAAAAATTCATTAAAAGTCGAACTTTCACAATATTTGTTTCTCTCTTTGTCTCTGTCTGTCTCTCTCTCTGTCTTTGTCTCTATTTCCGTCTCCGTCTTACATGTAAATCCCCCATATTTTCTCATCTCTCCAGTTCTAATCACTCATTAATGCCATCTCTCCCCTTCTCTTTCATTTTTTCTTCAAAATTGCAGGTCTATGCAACTTCTCCTTCCAACTCTCACACAACTCCACCCTGCTGAATGTCTGGGGCGCAGCGCCCTCTATGTTGAAGGGTTCCTGGTCTCCACCCGGCGACAATAAGGCAAACGACGCAACAGCTCCAAGACCTTCAACAGGTATTGGTCTCCTGGTCACAGTAATGATTTCAAATCGCTTGAAATGTCCCAGTTAAATGAGCGATTTTATTTAGTTATAACAGGAATTGCTGGATTGCTTAAGGTCAACCAAGCATGCTTAACATGTTGCAATTTCCTTTCTTTTTTAAATATCTAAATCTATTCTTAAGAATGCTCATCATCAGAATTTGTCTACTAACCATTACTCAACCTTCTTTTTAAGAATGTTTGAAGTAAGATCAGTTTAACTTCTGATCCATTTCAAGTGAACAGTGTGTCAGGAAGTTTCAAACAAATCACTGAAAATTCAGAGAATCTCATTAGGCCACAAAACAAAGTCGTCTGCCTCATATATTTTGTCTCTTGTTCAATCAGCTTACCTCCTAGAAGATTGACTTCATAATGTTGGCTTTGTTGTTTTCATAAATACCTCTTTGATAGTGATCCTGGAATTTGAAGCTCCATTAGGGAAAATAGGAGAAGTTTGTTTTCATAAAATGCTGGGAACCCTGTATGTTTTCCCCATCTTCTATTACCTCTTTAATCTCATATTTTATCTTTTCCAAAGATCTTACAGCCTCATTTCAAGACTGGCCAGCTGCAACCAGTCCATTGACCTCATCAACAGCGAGCTTCACCATACCCGATGGTGCCTTGCACGTGACACCCACCAATTCCCTTGACATGCCATACCACGTAGGCAGCTTCCACGAGAGTGAGATGAGCACCAACTTGCTGCGCAGCCTGGCTGAAGACGAGAAGGGAACGACCAGGGATTCGGTTGCAGCGCTGAGTCGTAAGATTGAAGAACAACCATCAGTGGTCTTAGAGGAATCAGAAGACTTTGAGGATAGTATTGTCATCCATATGTCTCCTACTCAGAACACATCGATTCAAGAAGAAGATAAACCTCCTGATGATGCCCCAGATACCGAGCATTCCCATCTCCAGAACATGAATGTACATTCGTCTCCTTCCAAGAACCCGTTTGAAGATGAGGATGCGGAGGATGCTGAATCCTTTAATCAAGGGCATGTCAATGATAGTGATGCACAAACCAAAGAAGAGCTGTCCATCGCGTCAGGCCTTACTAAGTATCCTGGTGAGGAAAATAGACATGCACCAAAGATTCCATCTAATCAAGAAGCAGATGATCCTACTTCTTTCTATTCAGACAACATCAGTAAGGAAACAAATCTCAAAATGAAGATCGAAAGGGACGACTTTGATGATAACCCATTTTTCAAAGCTGATGTTAACAAGGATGCAGAGAACCCTAATGATGGGATAAAGAAACCAAGGATACCCTCCTTGCAGGAGGAGCTTGATGCGGCAGAGGGAGGGATGTACGTGTCTAGATCCAACATTGAATATTACAAAGAGGATGATGATGAGGACGAGGAGGGTGACGGTGATTACCATGGCGATGTGAGGAGAGGAAAGGAGAAAGAAGTCCAGTCAGGAAAGGTTGATGATATGAGAACATGTAACTCAAGGGACCAGGGATTGGATGAGAGAGGGTTGCTTGAGGAAGACAGGATGGGAAGAGTTTCAGCTGGTGAAAATGATGGAGGAGAGAGGGAGGAGTTTACTAGTTCCCATGGCAACAGTCTTGGAAGAAACAGAGGCTGGTCCTCAGAGTTCCACAGACCTACATCAACGATGTCTGAAGATACTACAGATGGATACACAAGGCAAGGTAGGGAACAAGTGTTTTTGATTGATCAATTAATTACAATTTCAAGAATGGCCTTAATGAAGAATATGATGCTTATGATGATGATGATGATGTTGATGATGATGATAATGATGAAAATGATGATTAAGATAAAGTTGAAGGTGATGATGATGATGATGACGATCATTATAATAACGATGACCATGCTGTGGAAATTGATGTACAGTACATGTGAAAGTCAAAATATTGATTTATACCTTTTAAGAACTGAATTATAATTATTGTGCCTGATACTTTCAATCCTGTAGTTTCATCTCTTTTGTAGCTTATTTATGCCTACTGCTTGTACTTGAACTACTGAGGAAAACCCCTGAAGCTTGCGTAGTTCTTAAAACATGATCATATTTCATTTGATGTATTTAGCGCATCAAATGATAACTACCCATTACGCTATAAAAATAAGCATCTATGAAAGTGTAAAAGGTCACCATTGTACACTGTACGATTTGTTCTTGTTTCGATCATGAATAGATCAATCGATATACATATACATGTACTTACCCCACATTCATTTTTTAAAATCATTATGGTGTTCAAGTGTGACCTAGGTCGATCAAGGATTTTTCTTTCTCTCTCTATCAATCTCCCCTCTCTCTCTCTCTCTCCTCCTTTTCTTTCAATCTCTCTCTCTCTCTCCTCCTCTCTCTAACTTTCAATCAATCCCACTGCCTCTCCCCTGGCTCTTTCTCCCCCTCTCTATCCCCCTCTCTCGCGCCCCCTCTCTCTCTCCCCCCTCCCCCTCCCCCTCTCTCTCCCCCCTCCCCCTCCCCCCTCTCTCTCTCTCCCCCTCCCCCTCTCTCTCCCCCTCTCTCCGCCTCTCTCTCTCTTTTAATTCACAGAGAGCTATCAAACATTGCTGAAGAACTACATGGACACCACAGACAAGGCCATCACTCCTGTCAGTAACCTTTCACCTTTGACCTCTCCTACCAGTGACACGACCAGCAAAGAGATGTCTACACCACCCCCTATGAAGGTAATGTATTGCAAAAGAAAGAGAATCAGGAATTCACTCATTCAGAACTTTTATGCATGTACATCTGCACTTGTAGACATTATCGTAGTTGCTTAGCTCTCATACAACTTTACATGTATGTTTACTTCAACTTTGGTGGCATCAAATTTCATGGCACTATCGTCTGTTTTGAGCCAGGAGGATACATGTACTTGAGTTTTACCCTTCTGTTCCGGCTCTAAACAGATAATATAGTAGTCAATAACGTTGGCTTTTGTGGAATGATATGCAATATGCATGTACTGGTATGTATATGTATACATGCTTTGCATCTTCTTTTTGATCAAACACTGATAATATGTTTTTCTCTAGATTGGGATAAGTATTGCAAATCATCACCTAACCACCTTCTACTGCAACCATGCACCTACAGCTATCCGTCATAAAAATACACATTTTACACTTTACACAGTACTAATATCATCATTTGTTTTTCCTTCTGCACATGAAGACATGTAATTAACCTGCACACTGTTCACACATTTCTATTTTGCAATCTCACTTTTCATAATCCAGAGTGATTATTATGATTAATTTACATTCACATTGTTCTTCCCAATTTTAATGATCAAAGATGTAATATGATTAATTTACATCCACATTGTACTTAACCATTTTAATAATCAAGAATGAGAGATATGATTAATTACATTGACATTGTAATTTCCCATTTTAATAATCAAGGATGTAATATGATTAATTCACATTGAAATTGTAATTTCCCATTTTAATAATCAAGGATGTAATATGATTAATTCACATTGAAATTGTACTTTCCCATTTTAATAATCAAGGATGTAATATGATTAATTACATTTTACATTGTACTTTCCCATTTTAATAATCAAGGATGTAATATGATTAATTACATTTTACATTGTACTTTCCCATTTTAATAATCAAGGATGTAATATGATTAATTACATTTTACATTGTACTTTCCCATTTTAATAATCAAGGATGTAATATGATTAATTACATTTTACATTGTACTTTCCCATTTTAATAATCAAGGATGTAATATGATTAATTACATTTTACATTGTACTTTCCCATTTTAATTATGTAATATGATTAATTACATTTTACATTGTACTTTCCCATTTTAATAATCAAGGATGTAATATGATTAATTACATTTTACATTGTACTTTCCCATTTTAATAATCAAGGATATGATATATGATTACTGTATTTACAGTGACCTTTGAGCTCTAGATCCCAAGTATGTAATCAACACTTGTTTCTGTTCACATGCTTCAATCGATACTCCTCTCATAGTTAACAATGTAAATCCTTGAAACTCTCAAGCTGTGCATGGCCTTGTACACGCATGATCTATGTTCAGAAGACTGACCAGGTGTGGGAAATTTCACAGAGTTTTATTATCATACATGCACATGGATGCACATGGAAATGTTGTGTATTCATAGATGTAGAGAGGTTTGAAATACAAGCATTCTTTAATAATCCACCTGTGGTCATTATCATGCAAAGTCTGCAATTTCTCTTTTTAAAAACTTTCAACTTCAAAGCATGGATGTTAAAAGTGAGTAGCACATATAGAACTATTAGAAGTTTTCCTTTTTAGAATTCAACATTATGCTCATTGACTATATATGTTTATATTGATTTACTTTGGAGCTTTTTAATTTGAATTATTATTTTGTAGGCACTTTGAATATTGTCACTATTATTGTTGTTATTATTATTAATATTATTAATATTATTATTATACACTGACATCGTCTAGAATGTATGCATTTTAATTTCACTTTTCTTTGCCTCTTACAGTATATAATTTATCTTTCTTTTAATTTATCACGTGCCAAACATGGTTTAACAGTCTATCACATAATTTGGGGGGCCTGCCCACAAGTAGGCCATTTCTGCCATTTAGAGGTGTTGTGGTCTGGTGGATAAGTCTCCGGACTGTAGATCACAAGGTAAAGGATTCAATTGCCAACCAGACACTAACGTCATTTGGCAACACATTCCACTCTCCCCCCAGGTGCTAAATGGGTACCCGGTAGTATTCAAATGTTAATGTAGTAGGCTCAGCAAGGTGAGCGTCTGTAAAATGGCGCCTGGCCGGAATAACCCGATGAAAGGGGTAATAATATATCTGTAAAGCACTTGGAGACATCATTGATGTAACTGCGGAATATTATTATTATTTACAATACTCTCTTGCAGCCTTCTTGTGGCCAGCCGATGATTTAATTCTTTGCCATTAACACCTTTCTAAAAGGCTTGCATCTTTTTTTCGAAATAGAGTAGATCAACTCGAAGGTTCAGTGACACAAAGCATAACTCCATATTTTGCCAAAATTAGTGTTTGATATCAAAATTTTTAGAAAAATGTGGGCTTTCCAGGAAACACAAAGACTTAACTTCACCCAGCACTCCAGTGAAGTCAATGGCTAGTGAAACATAGACTTAACTCCTGAAGGTCCAAGTGCTCAGTGACGCATAAACCACTTTTTCTCAAAATGGCCAAAATGGAGTTTCCATGTACGTCTTTGTGTCACCGGAACTTATCATTTCTTCTCTTCTCCTTTCATTCATCATCACCAGAGTTCTGCACCTACTTCTCCTCAACCTGCAGATTTTCCTCTGGATTTTGAAATCATTCCCTTCAGCAGCTCACCGGCCTCTAAATATGCCGACTCGGTAATTCCACTTTCTTCTCCAGACTTCAAACAACGTTGTCTATATACAGTCAAACCTGCTTTAGTGACCACCTGTCTACAAAGACCACCTTTCTACAACAAGCACATGTTTTGTTTCCCTTGAAGATGGTCTCTTATTGAAACATGTACCAAAGGAACCTGTCTACAAAGACCACTTTTTTTCTGTATCCCTTGGGCGGTCGCTGTAGACAGGTTTGACTGTATTATCATTATTTGACCACTATTTTTTTGATGATGAATTATATGATTTGTATACCCACCTGAAAACACTTTTCGCTTTGGTATAAAACAAGCTTTCATATTTTACTGCTTCAGAAATTGTCATTTTATGATACCCACAGCATTTTCACATGACCTAATATTCAACAGTTTTGTCACCCTAAAAGAGCTTGCAATCTTTCATATATTTTTATTAATCTTGTACCGTATTGTAATTTTTATTTTGTATAGATTTTTAGATTTAACACTGTATTTTCTGTGTGTATGAAATGAATAATTACTGTGATATGTGTATGAATTATTAATGTAGATGTAAATATGACCTTGAGTGTAATCCCATACATGTATCTCTTGATCATGGACACTAGAACTGAAAATAATTCTGAATTTAGTGGCTATTTTATTTGTAATACAATATTCAGTGCACCTACATGTATTATCATATATGATGAAAACATGAATTACTATAATATGTGTATGATTTATTTCTGTACGTACATGTTTTTAAAGGGCAATCCAACACTTATAATAATTTCATTACAAAACTAATTAAAGATTCATAACTTTCTTAGTTAGTCTGATTTAATTGAAACTTTCATCAGATTGCTTCTCTGATTTTCTGCTTTCGTTTAGAGTAGTTGTCTATTTGGGTTGGATTTCCCTTTAAATACAAACAAAATCTCTTTTGACAAAGAAAGACGTGTAGAAATCTGAACTGAACTTTCTTCCATCGTCTTTAGCGCACACAAGACTTGCTCTCCCGGGTGACGAATATCGCTAATGAGAAGGGTCTGGACTCCCAGAACTACCAATGTAAAGGCTGCACGAGACCAGTGGGCATCAGTAAGTAAATCACTCATTATCACTACATGATTTATGATTCATTTTATTATGATACAGTCAAACCTGTCTACAAAAAAGTGGTCTTTGTAGACAAGTTCCTTTAGTACATGTTTCAATGAGATACCATTTTCAAGGGAAACAAAAATTTGGTATTTGTAGACAGGTGGTCACTAAAGCAGGTTTGACTGTTTAATCTTTTGAACAGTGTTTACTGATTGATTGATTGATTGATTTATTGATTGATTTATTGAGTACATGTACCTTAATACATTTACATAATTGCTTTATGACGCATAAAGTAACCTCTTCAAAATTTACATTTTTTTAAATCAATTACTTTAGTTTTATTATGTCTGATTACCATTATTATTTATGTTTTTATTGATATAATTATTATTAGTAGCTATATTAGTATTTAATACAATAGTTGTAGTAGTAGAAGTAGTAGTAGTAGTAGTACATGTTACTGTAGTATTTTTACTGTAATTATCAACATCAATGCCATCATTCTTGTTGTTTGTTAAGTTAAACTGATTGAGAAAAGAAAAGCAGAGAAAGGCGTGGTATATCAAATAATTAAAATGAATTACATGACACTGTCATAACACATGGAGGATTGGCTCACTGCAAGCCAGTTCATAGTTGCAGTCTGAGCATGAGCAGGTAAAAGGTCATTGCAGACCAAACTGTGAAATACATGGAGACAAAATACTAAATACGTGCTCATGAAAGTTATGTTATCATTATTAATTTATGCACAAGCAGTGCACTCCATGATACGCATGTGGAAGTATTCTTTAAAAGGGGAAACGAAGGTTATTTATGTAGCACCTACATCACTGTAGGAGTGATTATTTCAAAATGTACAAAGTGGGACCTCTTCATGTTTTGAAGATTTGTGGATATTCGGGGTTATTTGGGACGTATGCTAACCATGAACTGGGGCGTGCCGTTTCACAAAGATCCTAAGTTGAAATTATCTCTAAGTTTGACTTAACAATTATGTACAGTTGATAGCATCTCTAAAATATTTTGTAAAAGTTATTTTAAAAGGCATAAAATGTTGATTCAAATCTTTCATATTTTCTATTATCATGGGAGATTTCTTGTTTTTGAATTTATGAAATGTCTAAAATACTTTTTAAGTCCAACTCAGAGTTAAGTTTGACTTAGAATCTTTGTGAAACACCCCCCTGGTCTATTGTTTTGTCATTGGTGTAC